CACACAGTTGTCGCTTGTTTGCACCAACCCAGTAAACCAAGAACAATTTTCATAGCTTCGAAAATTGACAGGTGCCCCCTGCCAAGTCCTCTTAATAGTTTAAGGTTTTGGAATTTAATCTCACTAATTTCGACATATCCCTCTAAGGATCTTGAAGCTTAACTTCAGAAAAGAAAAAAGGCCGTGTACGGCCCTTTTTGGAATCCTGGTGTCCGTTTTTCGTCAATCCTTTAGTGAAAGCCTGTCAAAAATGGTTAGCTTCTCCAGTGAAACTACTTCTTTGCATCGTGGCTCCCGGTCTTGCCCTGTGTCTGCACAATTTCTTTCTATCCTCTTGTTTCTCTCCTTTTGTTTAGATAAAGCGAGGGATTAGGAAAGATTTGCCCCCATAAAGTAGTGGTTTGATGGGCTTTTATCCCACCATGTTGCTAAAGCTGTGTAGCCCCTGGATTAGGGCCTGACAATAGGAACCCTTGTCCTGGGCCGCAGCCTGAGGGGCACAACCAAAGACCGGCTCTGAGAAAGAGGGAGGAAACAAACCTGCCAACCTCGATACGTCAAGTCTGCTAGAGAAACCGTTCAGAGCGGCGGCCCGAGCTGCATCACGGTGCGCCATCTCAACAGGATCATAGAGCCACAAACAATACTGAAAGTGAACCACTGAGTTCTGTGGCTCCCAAATAATTACATTCTCGCATAAAAACATGTTTTCCAAGACGCTAATATCAAAAAATGAACGCGCATTTTTAAAGTGGATTGTTTTCAAAGTGGGCTATAGCATATCGATGCTTTCAATGAAAAAGTTGTAGAAAGCGTTTCGTGTCTGATTAATGTTCTCAAGTGATGTCACTTGAGTCAGCATCGGTTGCATTGACTGAACATAAGAAGGGGTCGTATAGTCACCGTGACTGAACCCCTTAGCCCTGTGTACTGCTGTTCTAGAAGCTTTGATTTGATTTTGGCTGCTGGTCGCCATCACGAAACCAGAAGTGATCCGAGAGGGTGGAGCGAAGTTACTTAAAGCTGAACAACTTTAGGCCGCCCCAATGTTAGTTAACTTAAAAACACTGTAAAACAGTTTAAGTTGTAAGACGAAAACCAGAAAAGAAACCAGTTTCCATCGCGGTTTACTCTAAATGGGACCATAATTTACAAAAAAGAAAATCATGCTGCATTAAAGAAATTAATAAAAAGAAATGTACGCTACATTGACTTCACTTTTCAGAACCAAAAGTTCTGAAGAGGAGTGAAAATGAAGAAAAAGAACTATGGGTAAGTGAGCCCACCGGACTGCCTCATCTCTGCTTAAGGCTAGCAGCTCAAGGACACTACATTAGCATCTATACTGATCTGTCAGCACTTGAATTACACTGTGGGCAATGTAGGCAACACATTGCCTTAAGCACCAAACTGCAAACAGACAAAGGTATTGAGAAGGCTGTAAAAATTGTTGAGGATTTTGCAGCCAAAGAGCCAAATATTTCCCTCAGGAGTTGGTGGAGACCAAAACAGAGCCAATAGGAGAGCAACATTTGCCCGATATTTGAATGGTGGTCAAAAACACAATTCCAAATAAACACAGATTGGTTCAGTGTCTACTGGATGTACAAGAATGGGTAACTTGAACTTTGCACTGGTTTCTTGAGTTGCAGGAACTCAATAACAAGCCACATGTTGGTGTCATCGTTTCTTTTGGTTATGAAAATTTGATTAATTTGACGTTTTTTATGTGGGTCCATTATGAGTTTGATGTATCTGAGACCAGCAACAACAACAGAAAGGTGCGGGACCACAGATTTGGTCTATTTCATCCAATATCCAACACATGTGAGGAAAGTCTTTGGTGAATGTCTGGCTAATACACAGCTGGAGGATTGCTAATGGCAAGTTGCTTTGTTACTCCAGTCACACAAGTCCCAAGGAAGCAGTCAATTCCAACCCATACATCAAAATGATTAATTTCACCCAAATGAGCACAAGCTAACCTTGACTAAGAGCACGTGCAGACCAGAGCTGCTGGATTGAAACCCAATATATTCATGAAGTTAAAGAAAACCCAATGATCAAAGGTAATGGGCTCTGAAGGCTGAAGGCATCAACTTTTCCCTCCGTCTGATGAAAAATGCCACTTGGAAAATATTGGAAGCCATTTGAGGGGTAAAATTACAAACATTCATGCGTTATAAACCTGATTAAAAACTGAACATGATTTATAAATCGCTGCAGCTTTCTCGGCTGAGCTTTGATTCAGGCAGCCAAAGTCCTGATGCAGGGATGAAAGTTTTGATATTCAGGATGGATGAGTGAGAGCAAAGACGATAACTCAGATCTGAGGAGAGGCTTTAACACGATAAAGCCTGAACGCAGCCGGAGTGCCGAGAACAATGAACACAGCAATGAAATCCGCAGAAATCTCAGATGAATTTGGGGTTTAGAAAGTTAGCCTGCGGCAAGCGCTGAGATCCTGAAGGTGATGAGGAGATGTGTCAAAATGGTAATTAAAGAGGTGGGAAAAGTATCATTCACGATTAGGCCTTAAAACCGACGTCATCAATTGAAATTGCAAAAATTTGCACAAACAAGTCATGTTTGGGTTTTTCCACCAAAAATAAGTTTGCTGCTTTGTTTTGTAAGAAAAATCGGACAAAACTAGATATTGTTGATTTCAAAATCAGCTTTTGGAAGTTTCTGTGGATAATGTCTTTATTTTCTGCCATTTTTACAATAACTGTAAAACATAATTTTAAATCCTCCAGAATAATTTACACTTAAATGTAGCAATGTAACCTTTGTCCAGATGATGTAAAACATTGCAATTCATTCCTTTAATGTCAGAACACACAAAACAACAGAAAATACTAAATGAGCAATCACAACTTGAAGTAAACAATTCAGAATACCTTTTAGAAAATGTAAATTAGTACTTTTAGATCTTTGACTTTATTGATAATTAGCATTGAAACCAAACACGTGTGTTTTTTGTTTTTTTATGTCAAAATTGTACTGTACACATTTTAAATCTGTGTACACTGAGTCATGGTGAGTTTATTGTCCACTCTGTCCGTGGATGGTTAGGAGCTGGTGCTCCACTGGCCTAATACCATTCTAATGGCAGGCCCTCTTGACACTCGCTGCATTAAAGCCCTCCGCCATGCTGGACACTAGCCCGCATTAAGGTCCGTATAAAAGCTGATTTGAGGAAGAGCAGCTGAGAGGAATTCCTTCTCGCTTTAATTGCTTTAGAAACGGTCCTCACAAAGAGACACTGGACAGATTTACCTCCAGTTTAAGTTCTTATTTCCATCGGTTCACAAGTTAATCCGATTTTTTCTTTTCTGTACCTAAATGGTCTGCACTTATAGTGGCAAGATAAAGAAAACATATAAGCTCAAAGTAATAAAATAATAACAAATGCGTATTCATCGATGGCTGTAATTCACTCACTTTTTTTTTAATTCGGGGAATGATTACCACCTGTTGCGTAACAACGTCCACTCGACTCATTCATTTTGTTTTGATCATATTTTCATATTTTAAATCTATTATTAAAATAGCCAGTTTAAACAGGAATATAAGGTGCACTCTTTAAAGAGAACTTAAGAGTCTTCTGTATCTTGTTTAAAGTTCTGCCAGTCAAAGTGGCCAAAGATCAAATTGGGTTGAGAATTTTAACCCCCTCCACCCAACCCCATCCAACCCCACCTTTCCCCTTTTTCTCTCCCTCTCTCGGGATAAAATTCAACAAAATATGCGAGCTTGAGCTTTACATTAAAAGGCTACTTCTCGCTGCCCTTAATTCCAGCCTAAACGTTTTTTTTCTTCAAGAAAAGAAATCTTTTCTAAAAAATAAAAAAAAAAACCTTGAAGAAGAGAGGGGCATTATTGTTTTAATCCTCTTACCAGCAGTCATTTTAAGACATTTTTTGGAGGGTGAAATGGCGTCTTGTCTACCAAATCCCAACCCAAATCCCTCGGGGCCGGGGAGCTGCTGGAGGAAAGCAGCGTGCAGCCCGCATCCCTCCACCTCGGCTGCAAACACGCAGCGAGGCAGCGGGGAAATCAAATTAACGCCCGGAATGAACCTGAACGTCCCCGTGCACGAGTCACTGCGAAGGAGTGGAGCAGGCCTTCGCTTACTATTTGCATATCATTTAATTAAAGGCTGTGTCATGGAGACATTTTTATTCGGCGGACCCCCCACCCAAAAAAAACAAAAAACAAATGTTGGTTTCGGGAAAACGGCAAAAGTTGTATTATATTAAAAGCTCTCAATTATTACGGAGACTGAAGATTTGAAGAAGCACGTATTTGCTTCAAGGTGGACTCTTTTTTATTTTTCTTTATTTTAGTTGCGTTACATTAAAACGAATACAGAAATTAAGCTACAAGACCTAACAAAGAAATTCCCATTTGAATGGTTTATTAGCTTTTTAATAATAATATACAGTCAATCTTAAATTGGTTGAATTTCGTGTTAAATGTTTGTAATCACAAAAAAAGAAATGACAGGAAAACAGAGTGGGCCTTTTGGCTTTAGCTGATTTTAAGCAGCACCTTAAAACCTAATCATTCTGAATACATTAAAACCCATCTTCTTATAGAATAATCTTTGAAGTATTAATATAATTTGTTATTTATGTCAGTCATACCTCACACCCCCCCCCCCCCCCCCAAAAAAAGCACTGGGATTAGTTTCTCCTCAAAAGAAAACTTAAGAAAATTTGCCTCCCAAAAGCAATTACAATAGTTCCCAGTTTTTGTGAAAATACAAAATAAAACTCGTGTTTTTCGTCTTCCAAAACAACAGCAGCAAAAAGTCGACACCTTGCATGCAGAATAATCACCACTGAAGTGAGGGGTAATGGGGAGGAGGTGGAGGAGGAGGGTGGGGGGCTGCGTTGGCGGCTGGAGGAGGAAAGCCACCTGATTGGATGAGAGAAGGAGCGTGTGAGCGCCCCGGTGACCCCACCCGGAGCGCTTTAAAGGCCGGTAGATGGCAGCTCAGCATCCTTCCAACATCCGCGGAGAGGCGAGCCGGAGCGCGCAGCGCAGCGAGCGGGACATTCTCAGGATATCACAGTGAACGGAACCGCTTTTAGTCAAACGAGAAACTAAACAACCGAACGCGGATTTTTAGAGAAGAAGATTTGAGGAGAAAACACTATTTCGGTTGCCGGTGGAGATATTTCGTTTGGGACGCAGAGAGAAGAGAGGTGAGAAGTTTGCAGCATCGAGGTTGGCGATGTTGTGATTCCTGGAATAGTTATAGTTATTAATATCTGTGGTACCCGAACTTACTTTGGATTGTGTTTTTTATTGCATTTTATTGCAACTCCGTCAAGTCGTGGAAAGAAAACAGTTTTTGAAAAAAAATGCAGCGTTGGTCTCACCAGTTATGCAATAACAACGCGACCTTCTTAATCTATCGATTAACTGATCAAATTGATCGACAAACCGACGTCATTTAAACGGCGTAGCTCTAAATTGCATGTATAAACAGGCCAGTAGAAATATTAAACGTTGTTTAAAAAAAGTTATTTTTGGTACTTTTCCCCCCAGGTTGTTAATTCACCCGACACAAAGTTAAACATCTCATTTAATTTCCCGTAAGACGTTTACGTTTCTAAATGCTGCTGAATTGACGACACGCATACAGAGCTGCGGGCCCGGGGGGCAATCTCCACTCAGTCCTATATAACTCATAAATCCACGGCAATTTGCATAATTAGGCTTAAATCAGAGCCCGAAGCTACACGCCATTGTCCCGGATGAAGAGCAATGTATGTTGAATTTATAAGCTGCAGATTAAAAAAGAAAAGAAAGAAAGATTCAAACAGCACACAAGAGTGCAGCCGAAGGCAGACCTGGTAAACATGATGCGATGAAACAGTTACATAAAACGGTGTTTGCGTTCGTCACACGGAGTAACGCGTCGGTCCTGGTGATAAATGAATAGCTTTGTAAGGTTGAAACCTATTAGCACTCACAGTAGACATCAGACTCCGTCCGCCTGCGGGCGTCTGGAACTGACCTGGGACCCGCCACAGATTGAAATAAACGAGTCGAGCCCCGAGGAGCAAAGTAAAATATGTCGTCGCTGTCAGCGCAGACCAATGACTTCCGTGTATCTTCAATTAGAACTCTTCACACTAAACATTTAGTTTGACGGTAGATATTCATATAAGAAAATGATTGGAATTAATTTCCTGTGATAATGTGTTTTTTGGGGGGATTTTTTACTTACCTAATAAGAAATTTGGACATTATTATCGCCATCGTGGTCATCATAATTATTATTATTATTATTAAAATGATCATTATGTAAAGAGATGATCTGATCTTATAAAGAAGGCAACCCATATTTTTTTACTCATCACAATTATGCAACGCTATATTTATGTTGAAATTAAAAAACCAACCAAAATAATGCATAAACCATATTACCTCAAATGTAATATATATTTTACTGTTAGTTATTCAATGCTAAATTTTAATTAGGTGTTAGATATTGTATTTGTCCATACTGAATGAAACTCACTTATTCTGCACAACTTACTATATTTCAACTCACGCTGTGTATTCATAAAACACATGCCTTTTTTCTTTAATCAAATAACAGATGTAAAAAGTTTAAAACCGATATTTTGTATTTTTTATAGCAGGCTTTAAATGAGGCTTCAGTGGTAAAAACTAATCATGGGAGAAAAAAAACATTGTTTTCCAAAAGGATTCTTTTTTCTTAAATGGGATCTGACTGGATCAACAACATGCATAAACGCCCTCAGTTGAATTATCCATCGCTTTAAATCATTCACCCATAGCTTTCTGCTTAGTTATTCTTTGATACAGAATGTTGGTGTCTCCCATGTTCATCACCTGTTGTCATATCAAAAAGTCGGCCTACAACAAACATTGTAATACAAACTGTTGAAGGTTGTTGTGTTTAGAGAGGCCTGACACTCAGTCCTTTCTCTCTGCAGACATATCGCCGGCCATGCAGCACTACGGGGTGAACGGCTACTCTCTCCACGCTATGAACTCACTGAGCGCCATGTACAACCTCCACCAGCAGGCGGCGCAACAGGCCCAGCACGCCCCTGACTACAGGCCCTCAGTGCATGCCCTCACTCTTGCAGAGAGACTTGCTGGTAAGAACCAGTTGTCATTCAAGGTCCCCATCTATTTTTGCATTTACCCGTATGTAATGTTTGTCAATCCCTGCGGTGCTTGAAGGACCTTTTCACCCCAACCTCAATTAAACTGGTCATGTTTCTTGTTTCTCAACGGCTGCACATTTCAAGACATTATCCTCGAGGCCCGGTATGGCTCCCAGCACCGAAAGCAGCGGCGCAGTCGGACAGCCTTCACCGCCCAGCAGCTGGAGGCCCTGGAGAAAACTTTCCAGAAGACTCACTACCCTGACGTGGTCATGCGAGAGCGTCTGGCCATGTGCACCAACCTGCCCGAGGCACGCGTTCAGGTAAAAATCGTTAAAAGCCTTTACCCCCCATGTCTGCTGTTTGCCTGTGAGATGCTCAGCTTGGAGACAAAAAGGCCATCTTGCATCATTGAAAGAGACAATTGAGGACGCAAAACCTGCAGTCATTTGCTTTGGCATAACGATGTCCACGTTGCGTTGCTTGTAGCCATTGACTCAATCCCTGACCTGTCTGTGCATCCGTCTGCCAGGTCTGGTTCAAGAACCGACGGGCCAAGTTTCGCAAGAAGCAGCGCAGCCTGCAGAAGGAGCAGCTCCAGAAACAGAAGGAGGCGTCCGGAGCTGCCGAGAGCTCTGCAGAAGACTCCAAGACGGACCTCAACGCCACCACTACCAACACCACCGCCGCCGCTTCCACCACCCCTCTGGTTACCGAGGCCCGCACTCCTCCACCTCCTTCCTCCTCTTCGTCCCGTCAATCGGAGACAGAGAAGCAGGCGGCCGGCCGGCCCCAGCCTGGAGAGACCAGCGTGGAAGTCAACGTCACCTCCCCCGAGGCGTCGGACAGCGAGTCGGCAGCAGAGGATAATGCTGACAGAGAGGAGGAGGAAATGAGAGGGGGGACCGGGGTGAAGATGAGGGAGGAGACGCATGGGGAGGGAGGAGCGCGGCCCGGGAGCAGCTCCCCGTCCTACAAACAGCTGAGCCCCACATCAGGTACGAATAATCGCCGTCAAATGACTGACGCTGCTTTTTTCTTTTACATTGTGAAATTCAAACCCAGCAATCTACTAGACAGTTGGAACATTAAAGTCCTCTTCTCCTCCTGTCCCTCAGACTCCCCCCTGAGCTCCCCCAACATGGCGTCCTCCAGCGGCATGCCCGGCGGTTTGGCGCAGAGCAACTCTTACGCCTCGTCTCCCCTCAGCCTCTTCCGGCTGCAGGAGCAGTTTCGCCAACACATGGCGGCCACCAACAACATGGTGCACTACCCGTCCTTCGAAATGAGCCCGCCGTCCTCACTGCCCTACCTGGGCATGAACGTCAACATGCCGTCGCCGCTGAGCTCGCTGCCCTGCCAGTCGTACTACCAGACCCTGTCGCAGGCCCAGCAGGTATGGAACACCCCGCTGCTGCAGGCGCCCCCGGGCAGCCTCTCCGGAAGCCTCAACAGCAAGACCACCAGCATAGAAAACCTGCGCATGAGGGCCAAGCAGCATGCAGCCTCGCTGGGGTTGGACACGCTCCCCAACTGAAGTCCAAGTCAGGCCCCTGCCTGTGAATCGAGGGCCTTGTCCAGTAGAGGTGACTCTTGGTGGCCCCTCTTCACCCTCGTCTTGCCCCCTCGTCACCGCCAGCGTCTGAGCGCGTCCGTCCAAAAGATTTAAACCTGAGCTCCTGGCGGCTACCCAATTGGCTAACGTAATGACGTAATTTGTCATTTCTTGTTTTGTTATTTTACTAAACAGCCGCTGGTCTTTTCTGGCAGTTTTCTAGATATCAAATAAACCGTAAATTCCAAAAACAACAAAGCAGTTGAAAGACGTTTTTTTTGTTTTTTCTTCGAGCAGGCACTTTAGGCGCCTTCCCTCAGTTTGGAGCCCAGGGTGTTTGACGCAGCTATTCCCCCTCGCCGCATCGTCAGCATGTGGGCATGCAGCTCACTGCCGGCAGCACAACAAGCCAACGAGAACAGCTCCGAACTCAATGAACTCGGTGAAACAAACAAAACAAAAAAGACCGCACTGCCGTAGTGACTGAGAAGAACTTTCTCCCGTGGATCTTGTGCTTGTATCCAATTCCTCCCGTTCACCAAGTCAAGGCCGGGGAAGAAGGTTTTGAACTAGTGAGCTGATTCCAGCACAGATATAAGATATTTAAATGTTCTATAACTCAACCCCTGAATGTGAACTTTGCATGCGTGCACCCCTCTGAAGCATGGCTTACAGCCGCAAAATACACAGAATGAAGTTGCATCTGATCTGTTTTCAGAAGTAAAGCTCAAATCACTCAATATAATCCCCTCTCCACTGTATTTCTTTCCACATTCCTCCGCTTGTTTAAAGTTACGGCGCTCAGCAGAATCCATCGAGCGTTGTAAATGTCCTTCGGCGTTCGCCTGCATCCGCCCGGCTAAAGAGGAACTCCATGTCTTCTTTTGTGTGAAGGATTTGAGGGGAAATGTGGGGAGGATCTGCAGAGGAGGCACAGCGACAAATAAATATGAACCCAGCCGACATATTTCTATTTGTTAACCGAACTCGACCACTTTTTCTGGGCCACTGGTTTCAGTCAGAAAGATGCACAGGCCAATTCTCTATGTATTATATCACTGTAGATTCAAGACATGTATTTCTCAATTGTTTAAAATGTAAGTAATTTATCTGTTTAATGCAAGGGAATAAATCACACATAAGAATGACTCATTTTCTCAGTTTTATCGGTTGAAAGTACTTGCTTATACTGACTCACATTGCCTCATTTTGGTTGAATTGAGAGAAAATACAGAAAAAAATACAGTATTTCTGAGTCTTTGGAACCTTTTCAGATGAACGGTGAGAACACATGATATCATAAACCTGAAATAATCCCATTACAGAAAGCATGCACTCACATAAAGGTAAAAATAACCCCCTTATTTCTATAAAGTTCTCCACTGAGAAAGTTTGTTTCGGGTTTGAATTCAGCGCCGAGAACGACAGGAAAATAAATCTCAGCGAACAGTTCTGATTTCCACACATATTACCGTTAACCCTTAAAAATTAGGTTTGGTTAACGCCTTCCACTGATGATACCTTGATGAACCGTAAATAATTTAGACACAGGAGGTCCACCGTGCTCGACGGCGAGGTTTACACACGACATGGAGGGGAGAACCTGCCACTTGTTCAGTGCAGAATAACTAATCCTAAATGAAATGACTGAAGCACAGCGTCGAGCTCTAAAGAGTCTCCAATCCACCACCCACCCTTCACGCCTCTCCCTCTTCTCTGCAGCGGCCCCCCTCCTCCCCCACCCTGTCAGCCGAGGTTTGGCTGCACCGAAACAGAGCGCTTTGCCATAAGAAGATTACCTTTGGTTGGGATATCGATGGATTAAGTAAGAATAGAATGAGATAAAAATGGGACTAGACGGGTTCCCGGAGTCAGAGAAGTTCAGACACCTGTTTTTTTTTTGTTTTTTTTCACCCCTGGTCTTTTCCTGCTCCACGACCGTTGATGATATCACTGTCTCACAAGATGAAAGGAGCTGGTGTGGTTTAAGATGAGGCAGGTTACAGTATATTCAAATGTCAGGACTGCAAAGATGCCCCCCCCCCTCCCCTAAACATACACTCAAGCATACTAAATATGTGGTCAATTTGTCATGTGTGTGGAGCTCATGTAGGTGTAAGTCAATGGGAAGGCTGTGCTTCTGTGTGTGTGTGTGTGAGAGCGCGTGGTAGTGTGTCTATAGCAGTTAAGCCGCTGAAGGTTTCCAGGAGCTCTTTGATGTGTATCTGGGCAATGCGCTATTAGAGGGATTTTCCTAGTTGACAGCCCAGAGAATGTGTGGAGGAATTGCGATGCCAACGGGCTAAAAGAATGCTGGAAACAGGATTAGGATCATATTCTGGCAGCTCCTGTCACTTCATCAATGGGCTAAGGTTTCCTCAGTGACAGCCCTCCTTCTCCGCCCGGCTAAAACCTTTAGTGGGACCATAAAAGGGGTGAGAGAGGGGAAAAAACAATGATTGAATGGCGTGCTATGATTTCTGTGCTGCTGGGTTCGCTCTGAGGGCTTTGTGTTGGGGGGTCTGAGGGGGGCGGCGTTGATTTGGAGGGAGGGGCAGGTTGGGGTTGATGAGAAAAAAAAGGGTCCATTTTTTTTTTTTTTTACTGGGGGCGAGGGGAGGTCTTTTTGGAGGTTTTACACCCAAATCCCCATGGCAGCGCACGTGGAGGGTTTTTTACATTGATGCAAGCGGGCAGCAGCTGTGTGGGACAGCAGCAGGTGGGGAGGAAAAGCAGAACAACGTTTCCTGAGTCTTCAGGATCCGGTTTGTCTGTACGATTCCTACCTGTGGGCATCAAGTGAGACCTCAGCCACACAATGACGGTACACGATTAACAGCGCATGAAGGGCTGTCAGGTGTTGTTATGTAGGCTTAAATGAGTACGTAACGGGGGCTCTTGGTTATCTTATTTTAATGAAGGACTATTCTGGTGAAATTCTTCTTCAACTGTCCCATTAAAAGACCAAACATGTTTATATATGTTAATAAGTATTGTCTGTTATTTATTCTTCTTCTGTGTCAATTACTTACACTGTTGTCTAAAAACATTAAATAGCACATTGCACTATATTTTCCTTCCGGTTTGAGTAATATTTGCCAACTACATAAAATAAAAATACATATTGCAAGCTATTTTCCATCAAATATCTAACAAGAAAAGGGTACCTCATCATAACAAAATACTACACATTTATTATCAATGTTCAGCATATGTTCCAAAATGTCATAATGGCAGATGAGATTCAAATAAGAGATAAATTAATCAAATGTATGACTTTAACACATTTTAAGACAGTTTGAAACTCAATTTAATATATGATGCATTTAAATCACAAATGCTTTTCAGACATTTTTCACATACCACATGTGAATCAATGAATTTCAGACCCTTTGTCTCATACATTTGTATGTTCTTTACTTAGATTTGGTAGCTGGCTGCAGCACTGCTTGCTCAGCCTATTTATACTCATCACTCGCCGTGTTCAGGTGAGTCATTTGTGCTGTAAGCTGAATATTGAGAGAGGATTTTGGGGTGCTCTTTTTACATTTGGACCGGGTCTTGTGTTGCACAACAGTTCTTCAGTGGGCTTACGGGGTGGTCTCTGCCGTGCATCTTGGACCGACTGTCTCCACCAAAACATCCTTCCCCCAAGAGTGTAACTCCACACTTTGCTCACCCATGTGAAACAATACTTTCACAATACCACAGGAGTTTGATTGTTGGCGACAAGTTACATAATGCCAGGAATTACAGACCAGCATGCAAATGCTAAATCCTCTCCTCTTTCTCCTGAGAAGTGGATGAGACGGACTGTATCTGCAGGCTTCACTCTGGCTCCCCAGCTTTGTGCTACAGAGACGTTCTCCTTTCTCCCCCTGACTTGGGTGATAATCCTGACACGCACTGTCTGCATTTTTTACTGTACGTGTTTAAGCGCATTTGCAGAGCATTTATCTCTCCAATGTAAACCAATTTGGCTATAAGGGCCTTGGGCCAAGCAAGGCGCTGGATGGAAGAAAGGAAAACTCAGACCTAGCAGATGTGCAGAGGAGGGGAGGATGGGAGAGCTGGCGAGCACGCGGGGGTTGATGAACAACTGAATGCAGCAAAAAGGGGGGAAGCGGAACCGCGCGGGAGAAAAAAGAGTGTCCCTTGTCCGAAGGGTAAGCTTTTGAAACTCGGGATAGGGGCCTTTAAAGCCGATACAACGTGGATCACTGAATTGTTGAGTCACAGAATCTGCGAAAATCACGCGGCGCTCCAAGTTAATCCCGTCATAGTGAAATCGGCGGGCATACTTTGGGGATCCCGGCTCCTTCTGAAGAAATTTGAAGCCTGCTGTATTGACAGAGCTGCTGTTTGATACCGCCTGTACACCTGTATCAGCGGTCTGTTAATCTGCCTTCCCCTCCTCCCACTAGTCCTCCGACAGCACGCCGCCTCCGTTGCTAGTAATGGCTGTTGAAATGGACCAAAGACCTAAAAGCTGCCAATCGTGCTGCTTCTCGATGTCTCCTGTAAGTGGCTCTGGGTGCGGGCTGAACTTGTCACTTTGATCATCCGAAAGGCAGGAGCCCTGCTGTGTCAAACATCACTAGCTGCAATTCTTTGGACACATAAAGACTATGGACTCCCTGGTCCCTGAAATGGGACATTAAGATAGAATCATCCGAGTTTAGTTGGGGCGATGTCAAGGTGTTTTATTTGCTGGCACACAGGCCGCCCGAATGTGTTTGGATGGCTTTTAAAGTACCTGATCTTATAGCCTAAGGTTTCTGTAAATGAGGTGTTTGCTGCTTTTATCAATGAGACGTTACATGAGAAGAGCACCTCGGCCTGGCGGGGCCGTCGAGTCGTTCTGCGGTGTGATCACAACGGGTTGAGCGGTGGCCATGGTCCCCTTCGCATCGAACTTCCAAAACTCTTTCCTTATACTGTTTACACTTCGTGAGCTTCTGAGTCCTGGAGCAGATATCCCGCATCATGACGACATCATCATCACCCACAGATAATGATTATACTAATGAAACGTATCATCAGGTCACCACGTAACACCGTGTGTGGTAAAAATATGAATATACATTTTATGATGCAGAATGGCTGTTTTCGGGGAGGTTGTCATGTCACAACATTGATCCAATACTATTTGGAGCTCTTTCAGTAAATATTTAACAGTGTCTAACTGTCTTCTGTTAGTTTAACCCGTCTTTCTTTCCCAGGGAATATTTTGGTTTGTCATAACAAGACATTAACAACGAATCCGTGAAGCCAAAGTGTCCTATTCAAAGTTTTTTTTTTTTAAATATCAGGAGTACAAAACAATCCAATTTTTTAAAATCTAAATTGTGTGTGTTACTATCATCTGCAGAAAGTTGAACCAAAGTGCAAATATGAGTAATTTTACATTTTCATATCATGGTTTTACAAGTCATCAACAATGATGAAGTATCGTGTGACGAAAATAATATATTAAGAATAAATACAAAAATTAAAGTTGTTATTCCCTTTTAAAAAAAAAAAAATTGACATTTCATTTGGCAACCAATTTAGAATTTTGCAGGACGTCACTTGCACTTCTGTCAAAGAACTAATAGGTAAACGTATTTAATGGGGCCATTTAAAGGCAGATTTTGTGCACGTGTGCGCGTGTGTATTTGTCGCTGCTTCTGTCTCAGCTCCTGAGGGATTTATGAACAATGTCAAGTTCCCTCTGAAGACCTGAGTCTCTTCACTGCCTCTTAAAGCTTAATGCTCCCTGACTGAGTGGCACAGCGAGAGCCACACTCCCTCTCTCTCTACGTGCCACAGATAATGCTAAGAACAACCTCTCAATTCCAGCTCCCCTCCTCGCCTAATGTGCCCTCCTTCCTGTACGCGCACATGGCCATTTGCTTTCAATGAGACGGCAGCGCAAAACGCGGGCGATTGTAATGGAAAACACGAACATTGTCCCTAATGGTTTCCCATCCCGAGAGAGTTTTAAAACATATGTAAATTTATGTAAACCCAACAGAAACACATATTTACAATAGCACGGGGTAATCACAATATGACGACATGGCGCGCTGGCCTCGTAGATGGAGGCGCCATGTGTCATTAGTCTCCTTTATCTCTTTTCCCGTTTCCTGTTAAAGCATCAGAGCAACGATCGCTCACAATACGAATGAAAATGATCTGCACTCATCTCTGGCGCAGTGACGGAGAGGTCGAGGGTGAAGAGGAAGAAGGTAAAGAAAGCCATTTCTCGCACTCAGAGCGGCAGGACGGCTCGAGGGCGAGACGCACTTTGTAAAGTCATGTTTGGTTAATATTCAACAACTAACTGTGCAGGTGTCAAAGGCTGCGCATTTACTTTATTCCACCCTTTGTCATCGTATCACAGAAAGCGGTTACTGCAAAGAAACAATCTTGATTTGGGAGACATTACTTTCTGTATTCATGTGAATCCTAATTGTTAACATTATTCTCTTTGCCTAATGGCGAATTTAATTGAATTTATTCTAAAGCGTGTAGTTTCTGTTCATCTCATATAGCATGAAAATTTAAACAAAGCCAGAGGTGGAGCAACTGAAACAAGATGTTACATATTTCAGAGGATTCTGAATTTTATTCATTCTATGATGATCTAATCATGGAAATGTCAGTTATACTCTTTATTTCAAAACAATGCATTAAAAAGGTTTAGTTTATATGTGCAATCAAAATAAATTTGTTTGTTAATGAAATAATTAAACAATGAAGGAGTGAACCATCCCAATCATTCATTAATATATAATTTCCTTTTGTTTTAATGCAGTCAACAGGTTTTATAGCCCGAGACCGGTTAGTCGAATGTGTTTTCACATTCACTCATTCACTGAGTCCATTCACAACACCGTCAAGCCCCCCCGCCGGAAGTGAGCTGCACCACCTGCGTCCCCCGGGCTTCACTTTCTGCTCTGTTGGACCAGTCGTTCCACCTCCTTCATGAAGCGCAGGCACAGCTCGTCCTGCCACGGCAGGGCGACGCACTGCACCGCCACGGGCAGACCCTCGCTTCCGCCGACGGCCTTGGACACAAACGCAACATCCAGTCGGTCAACAGTCAGTCGGCAGGAACGCGCGGCGGTCGTCTGCCTCCATCTGCTGACCAGCTGGGGAACTACTGGCAGCGGCCCTTTAGCTTACGGAGCTACAGGTGGAAGCGACCTACTGGTATCATTACGTTTTTTTAACTAAAGCCAAAAAGATTAGGTCGTCTCTACTTCACAATAGGACGGCCGTCTGTCTCAAACTTATTACAGCCTCCAGAAAAAAAGTCTCCTGCATCATAGCATTTCTGCTTCTAACCAGCGTATTGCACCAGTTGCCCCCACTGACCTCTAACTGACGCACGTCTCTTACCTGTTTCAACAGCTTGTCCCAGTGGTCCTGATGATGGCCCTCGTAGCGCCCGAGTTCCTCCTCGTCCCCGGCCGTCACCGTGGAAACGGGAACGACGCCGGCGGGAAAGGTGAGGAGGTTGTAAAGTGCCGTGTAAGACAAAGCGCCTCAAAAAAGAGAGAGAACGGCAACTGGTTATTCGTTGCTTTACGCCGGGTTCGATAGCGTTCATTAAACAGGACATTTAATTAAATGCTTGCGTGCGTCAGAGCTACTCAGAGGTCTTCGTCTCCGAACCGGGAATATATAAAAAGCAAGTAGTACTGACTAAGGTGAAACGTTTTCGTGTGTCACGCACACGTCGCTGTTTATTGTCACTGCACCGTACTGGAAAGCTTGCCGCAGTAGAAGAAGTTGAATGCCGGTCCGATCACAGGGCACAACAGCACGTCTATGTTGAGTCTTCTCCACTCCGCTATCGTTTCCCCAATGTAGTCCTTAAAAAAGAAGAAAAAAAAGAGGCCTTGATGACCCCAATGTATGCGATCGTTCATGCGTGAGCATCACGAACTGACAATTAACGGCACCTCGACGTCAGCGTGCTGCTTCCACAGGTTTTCGACGGATCTAAAAAGACACAACAGAAAAGGAACAGATGCGTTTGTGCGTCGCCACAAGACGTGAAACGGCAGAGTCGCTCTTTCTTACCCGACTCCACAGAGTGAGCGGAGGACGGCGGCGCCGCGAGGAAACTGCCGAAGACGAGCGAGAGATCCAACACACACACACACACACACACACGCACACACAGAAGGGTTGAATCACACTTTAAGAGTCTCAACAGAACCTCCACGGGAATGTTCAAACCACTATGTATTTCTGCACATGTGAAGGAGGGAACTCACCACGGGCTTGAGGAGGAATGAGAGGGTTTTCTTCAACCAGTTAGGAAGATAATAAGGCATCACCTGTTCCCGGAGACAGGGGTCCAGAGGGCCCCCCTCCCTAAAATGGAAAGAATAAATGGACGAATGGCACAAAGCTTTAGTAAACACGGCTTAACTGGGCCGCTCGCCGTTATTACATGAACGCCTTGTCGCAATTATTTGAGATGACTGCGATCATTTTCCACCAAAAATGCGATCCCACAAAATCGGGGAGAATATAAAGCGCATCTGTCCGATGCGACATTTTCCACTGTTTGAGATCTGACAGCTGCTCCTTTAATTAGTTCAACTTGTTGCAACCAATTATTTATCTTCATGTGCTCATATGAGACGACAATCCTCACGGCTTGTGATGCGTCCGAAAGGCAACTTGTGTTTTGCACAACAGGTCTAAAAAACAAACACTTATCAAATAAATTAGGACTACGCTCATGAAATAACCGGCATCCCAAAGAGGACCTCAACTCACAGTTTTTGAACCAAGCGGTTTGCTCCGTCTGCCAGTAAACCCTTGACGAGAAGTTCAGTTACAGCGTAAGTGATCTTCAGAGGAGTGTAGGGCACCAACTACGGGCACAGAGAGGCACAAAAGTACCTGCATTAAACACAAAAAGCTCCAAAGCACACAGTGTTGTGGCCGTGGAGCATATAGGTGTGTGTGTGTGTGTGTGTCTCACAGTGTGCCCCGCTTGCTCCAACAGAGCTTTGACCTCGCGGACTCCTCGGGCCATGCTTGGGGACGGTTGCGTGTAGCCGTCGTCCTCTAGGTAACCGATCCTGAGAGGTTCGGAGCTCTGGTACATCTGAGGACGAGACATTTTCATTTTTATACATTACTATTATGGGTGTAACGATTCATCCACTGAATCGATTAATCGATTTATATTCCTGCTGAATCGATCTGTGCTCCGCAAATCGGCATTCCGGACGACATATATTGATTACAAATCGATTGAAATGGTACCTCATCGATTTGTATCGATTCTTGGAAACTGCACATTGGATTTAAGTACAAAAACGGTGTGGATGTGTGTTTGTTTGTCTGTTTTTTAGCACTTTAGACACGTTAAACGTTACTGGATTCAGTCTGCCTGTCTGTGACGTCATCAGTACGCAGCGGCAGCCGCGCGAAACTCTGAACAACAACAAAACACAGCGTGGAGGAGACGACTGCGAGCGAGACATTTACAAACCAACATATCGATCCAGCGTGTGGAAACATTTGGGCTTTTGCAAACACGCAGGTGTTCTAAATAAGTCGGTCGCTGTTTGTAGAATATGTAGAAGCCAAATAAAAAAAACACAGAAACACGACGAATCTTTCCGGCCATCTACTAAGGCGCCGTGGGATTAAACAACGCCGACAGTCAGGCACCTCTGCAGCAGCAGCAGGTAACTCTCTGCAGACTCCTCAGGCCTCGCCAGCACAAAACTCAACATCACAGTAACAATTGCCAAGTTTATCTGTAAAGAAATGCGACCCTACAATGTGGTTGAAAATCCGGGGTTCTGTGAATTGATCCAAATTGATCCAAACATTGTGTAATTATTGTGTAATGTTTACATTGAAAATGGTTGCACAATAAAAGGTCAATACATACAATTATTGTGTAATGTTTACATTGAAAATGGTTGCACAATAAAAGGTCAATACATACAATTATTGTGTAATGTTTACATTGAAAATGGTTGCACAATAAAAGGTCAATATATTTGCCATCAATTGTTGTTTCCTTGTTTATAATATCCATAATTAATTTAAACCTGATTACAAGAAAACAAGAAAACACAGGGATCTCAGAAACTTTGCCTGCACTGTCCAGTAAAGTTACTGAATCGATTTCAAGTCACTGAATCGAATCGAATCGTTCTAAATTAACCCATATCGTCCATGAATCGAATCGGCAACCATGAATCGCGATTCGAATCGAATCGTTGTTAAAATGAATCGTTACACCCCTAATTACTATATAAATATTTGCAGGAAGAAGAAGAAGCGTAAAATGTTTGTACATTGTTTAGGTGAATCCGACTCATGACAGCACACGTTCCCCCAGAGAGACCTGTTCACAAACAACAGGCAGCAAAACTCAAGGGAGTTTTCTTCCTTTCCTGACTCTGTGAAACTGATGTAATAAGACCAGAATCCCTGTTCTGGATCAACGACTATCAGCCAAGTGTTTTTTTGTATCATCTCTTTTTGTAGTACTGGCACTAGGCTACATCTCTGATATAACAATCCAAACAAACCTCCCGACCCCTCTGACATGGGCATTTCCTGTTATAAATAGCACGAGTACCATAAAAAGGTCAGCCTTATCATTGTCCTCATGAAGACACCCGTGATCACGTTTGTTGGAAAAACTGCAATAACGTTCCACCTTAGTACGACAGAGAGTCTGTGCTCTTCCACGTAGCGGCACATGGCGTTCTGGGTCATCTGATTATGCGCGTCAATGTTTAATCGTGTGTTGCCAAAGACGATCGTCTACATCCGAGGTATTTGAAACAGAAGGCGAAAACAAATATGTTGCCAAAGTCAGGAGTTTGTTGACGTACTGAAAAGATTACAAACCAGCTCCCTCGGTTGTGTCCGTTGTTACAGAAGGTTACAGAGTTTTTCTTGGCTGAGAAACAAGTCAGAATGTCACTTACGACGTTTAGGGTTTTTTTTCTGCAGTGGACTTACCTGCATGTCAAAAGGAATGGGTGGAACCGTGGGGTCCAAAGCAAACATGTGGTCGCAGAGCAGAGCCTGCATGGCGAGGGCCACGGCGTCCACGTCCCTCGCCATCGGCCCCGGAGACGACAGCACTAATTTCACAAGAAGGCGAAAAAAAAAAGGTCAGACAGCACAATGCGGCAAGTAGCCAAGGACGGCGCACCTGTAACTTACCCGATTTCTGCCCTCGAAAGATGGGTTTCAAACCCTTGGAGCTAACAAGACACGGAGAAATAACATCGTTCAAAAACGAAACGCGCGCACAGTAGCAGAAAAATGTCACGACGTCGCCGACCGAATGGGAGACGCTCACCTTAGCCGACCCGCCGTTGGCTTCAAGCCGCAGATCCCACAGAACGAGGCGGGGATGCGGATGCTCCCCCCGACGTCACTGCCGAAGCCGAGCACCGAGCCCCCCCCCCTCACCAGAGCCCCCTCCCCTCCGGAAGAGCCCCCGGGGGTCTTCCGGAGGTTGTTGGGGTGCAGCGTCTGCCCGTAGATGGGGTTTCCGCAGTCGTAACTAAGAAATGAAAAACCGTCAAGAGAAAGAAAGGAGGAGATCAGCGACGATCATCACAGCCATTGGTGCCGCCGGTGTTTTTAAGAAAGTGATTTACTTCAACAGCGCTTGGGGCAAGTTGGTTTTCACAAAGGGAATTGCTCCTTGTCTCTTCAGGACCTCCACGATCACGCTGTCCTTCTGGTCAGGCCGCTCCAGATTAACGACGACGCCGCAAGAGGAGTCGTGATTCTGGGGGTGTAAAACAAACAACAGGCAACGGTTAATGTGTACCAAACTGCTGCATAATTGTTCACCATCTCCTTATCCTTTTCTCTAATAGTTAACCGGACACTTGGAGGCGAAAAAAAGGCGAAGTAAAATCCATTGCTCAACAACGCACTGTGTACTCTGCACAAACGACGCACAACTGGAGGTTTATAGAAGTGACCTATGACAAAAGCTGATAGTGTTTTTGAGGATTTGTGAGAGAGGCGTATACAATTGTTTGAATATCATCTTGCTATGGAGACTTTTTAAATAGGACTTTGTGTAATACATTTCATTTAAATGCTCTGATATGACACACAATAATATTTTCTTCATTTCCATGTCTCTCTTTATTGTATGCATGTTGTTTAATGTAGGTGTATCTATGTTCTGGCTGCACACATGATGCTAACACGTGTACCATTCAGGGTCAGTAGAATGACTTCTATCCATCTACCTGAAGTCGCAATAAACAACTACAAAATACCTTGTACGCGTAGTTTTCTTTGATGCTAACTGGAACTCCGTACAAGAGACCTTCCTTCTTGGAAGCAACAGTTTTCAGGTCCTCAAAGCTCTCCAACAAGATTCCTGTGCAGCAGTTGACATCTTTGTTCACATCCAGAGTCTGTGGGAGAATACGGAAAAAGAAACACACATAAGGGTTTGAAAAAAGGCAACAAAACCAGGAAAGAAAAGTGAAACCAAGGACATTTTTACGAGTCCCTTGTAAAGTTAGTTATTTAATGACAAACTTTATTTATAGCACAGCTCTGCATATATTTCTATACGTGATTGTTCTGGGAAAGTGTGTGAAACATGGAAGGTGTTATTTGGGTTTTCAACCTTTTCCATGTAAGAGTAAAACACGTCTTCAGGGCTCAGCGAGCCGTCCTGCAGGTCGTTTGTCAGCTCGGACAGAGACTTTGCCAAGATGAAGGCAGAGTCGACTCCTGGATGCTGTAGGCCACACACACACACACACACACACACACACACAAACAAAGCTATAAAGGAATTCACACATGCAATAATCCCTTTTCAAAATGAGCTGAAAGTTCTAAACAGATGAAAAACAGGGATGCAAAAAAAAAAATCAAGATTTGCAAGAAACCAAGCTAAATTTTGACAAGCGTTTTTGTATTTTGAGGCATTGGGTGCCCTCATATGTTAATAGGTAAAGAAGCAAAGCATAATCTATGGTAATCTACGGGTAATGTTATGCACAGCGACACCAGGTCCAAAAGTAACGTAAACAATGAGAATGGACTCTCACGTGCCGTTACGCTTTGCTTGACAAGCTTTTGAAGCGGAAAGTCTGAATCTGTGAATATCTTTCCAACTTGACCGAACTCTTATGCAATCGCACGGATGCTGCACTGCGTTATTATATTTTTAAGTTATTTGTGGAAGTGCGAAACTTGAGAGATTTATGTGTGGTTGATGAATGGTACAATTTGATTGGTCTTATTCTACGAACCATGGCATTGTCACTGGCGTCAATGGTTTTACATCAAATCTTAATATAGTGTATAGAAAGGGTTGATTCATAAGGCTCACTCATGATGACACGCCCCTCTCAGTTGAGGGTCGAAAGTGAAAAAAAAGACCTGAAACTTGAAAATATAATCTGAATAAAATTTGAATCTGAAAACATAAAATGTGCAATCGATAGATATAATACAGCGGATATAAAAAATATGTGAGGATTGAAAAAAATATACTTTATTCAAAAATATTAAAGAAATGAATCAAAACAATATTGAACCAGACAATACTTTTTTGGTTTTGAATACATTGTTGTATTTTTCAATGCTCAAGACCACAACTTAAACACTTTCAGGTTCGCATTTGCTTTTCAAATGATCAAAACGTTCGACCTGGCTTTTGCTCCATAGTCACAAGCGCTTATAACATTCCCCATGTGCTCTGACATGTCTGTCCCCCGCGCACAAACAAAGGACACTCAAAGCGTTGTTATAACAACTTTCCCCTCCTGACGGGTCGCGAGCTCTCAACTCTCACCGACTTCTTGTACCGCCGCACGGCCTGCTCGGCCCGCTGCAGGCTGTCGGCTCTCCGGCCCCTCGCCCTCCGGATCTTCTCCTGCGCCTCCCGGTGCGTTTGGACCTTCAGCAGCACCGCCACCACCAGAGCTCCAGCCCCGCACGCGGCACCCGTCAGCAGAGCCGCCGTCCGGCGATCGAGCTCCACTCCCTGCAGACAGAGTTTCACGTTGTCCATGATGCCCTCACACGACCACTACCGACCCCCGCGCCGGTGTCTTTTCTCTACAATGAGCAGCGATGAGCGGCTGACCGATGCTTAAATAAACGCACCACCGGTGTTGCGTCCCAACCGGCTTTTGAACATACTAGTTTGCCTCCGCTTGGGCGTCGTTGTTTACTTAACAGCAGCAGGTATGATCTCACTCGGTCGCCCGATTCGTCACATATTTACAAACATATTGCTGGAAATGTTTTCTTTAATATGTTTATTCATATGCGGCAGTGGTGTAGTGCTCACTTATACAATCGTTATTGATGCAGTGATGCATTTTGAAGATTTCCAGCGATATGTTTGTTAATGTGTGACGAATCAGGCGACCGAGGGAGAAAGAAGCTGCTTCATACCAGTAGGTCAAAAAAAACATTAGGCACGTAACACCGATGGGAAGGGATGGGAAGATCGGATCATTTTACTGACTCGGTTCTTTGAATTTCGTTCAGTAAAATGAACAAATAGCCAATTCCCTGTCTTAAATACGTCCACTGCAAACACATTTCATATTCTCATGTAGGTTAGTGCATGTAAACCAGCAGATACTAATTTAAAATAAATTCCTGCATTGAAATAATGTATCATGACAGTTTGGATTATTTGAAATGGTCATTTATTATCACGCTAGCACTAGCAACAATTACGCTGCACTGAACTAAGTACAAACAAGTTACAATAACAAAACCTGCAATTATTACTAGTGAATTAATATCATTCACGTCTTACTTAACCTAGTCACGCGAAAGTGAACGAGGTAAACAAATCCTTCATGTTTCCTCTTCTGAACCTATGCAGGTCACGTGAAAAACGATTCAAAGACTCGTTCCCGAAAACCCAGTCGGGAAATGAACGAATCATATCTGTTTCCTTGACTGAGCCTCTGCAACAGTCCCAAAGCGCAGCCACGAGAAAATGAACGGATCTCTCTTTGAGAAGACTCGTTACTCCCGAGTCCTTGTAAGGATCCGTTCAAAATGAACGGATCGTTCACGAACGGCACATCACCACCGACCACAATGGGTGGAGCCGAAACAGCGACAAAGTGGTCAAACAGGTGCCGCTCGCTGGTGGTTTTGCTCACCGCGAGTTGTTGAACAAATTACTTACGCAATCGACCGCCGGGGGAGGAACCCGGATTGAAGGGTTTATTCTTTTATTTCAGTAGGAGGGCGCCAGTGCTTCCTCGCGTGAGCCATCTGATCTGAACTCACTTCCTGTTCATTTGACAGAGAAAAGCGGCCGCGTATGAAGGATAAGCAGTTTGAAGATGGATGGATGGATGGACAGAAAAGTGTAAGACACGCCCCGGGGCCTTGTTGGGGTCAGGCTACGAACCAGATTAACTGGACTAACTAGATGACTCCAACCTTGTTTCACCACACTTGGGTCAATTTGTGTATGTACTTAAAGAAAAATCAATTGCATCGTCTGCTCCATCCTGGTGAGGCATCTCCAGATTAAAACAGATAAGCCAGGCACCAGGTGAGGTTTTCAAGCCACCCACTTTAATTAAATGTCGACTCAAGCTACCTTGTTAAATACTTATACAGATACAGTAATGTATACATTCCAAGTTACAACATATAGTAGATCCACATATGGATGTATTCAAAACAATATTTTCCTCATAATATTTGAAGAATGTCATCAGCCAACTGTGCGACCATCGGAGAAGACTTTATTTGACTGCATGGAACAGTTTGTCGGACACCTACGAAGGACAAAACGTAAATTAGTTATTGCGTGATAATACATACAGTGGCTAGAACAATGTTGCAAAGGAAATATATTTTAACATCACAGGGTTGCTGCTTCTGATATGAAGGAAATACTTGCAAATGTTAAACAAAAAAGGTGTACTATTCCTTTGATACGGTAAATCCCAAATCTGTGAAAATCATCCGTACAATGGAAATTTGCTTCGAACTGTAGACATATTTGGTTATTGGATCATTCTGAAATTACTTAAACAACTACAACTATTGATATTCATCCAGGATAGATTTAACTTTGCATCATTGATGAACTGTGAATTACGTGCAAGCCAAAGGCATAAACTGACCATATCTTTAAAAAGATATATTATTCTTGATCTTCTTGCATGGCACAGTTGCCAAGCGTCCACACTTACACAGTGGTCGCGGGCATGCAGGAAGTCAAACAGCTCCTCGGTGCAATCCTCAGCTGTCGAAGACCGGGAGCCGACCCTCGACTCACAATGCTCCAGACGCTCCCGAGTGTGAACGCAGTGCTCCGTCTCCTCACACTTCTGTCGCATCGTTTCCATGGGATCCTGAAACACACAATCCAGCACTCAGGGTACAAACATGTTAAGACCCCGTGCAGACGGACTCTAGTTTGTCTGAACCCGATGAACCCTGTCTCCGGATAGCTCTATCGTGCAGACGAACGCACTGTATCCGCACTCCCTCGAATCGGGGGTCCAAAGTGAGTAAACTCGAAACCCGATTGCTGTTGGTGTTCGTCTGCACGCTATCCGCATACCTAATCGGATTGCGCCACGTGACTGCATCACGTGATTGCATGCAACCTCACGCTGAACCCTAATTAACCCCAATGCGTCACTTCACAACAACGACAACAATGGCGAACGCAAGGATAATGTGCCTGCTGAATGTGCTAACAAGTCTACAATGCGCACTATGGGAATATCGTCAGTTCTTTTCGTTTGTATAAGGCGCGCATGTCTTATATGCATGCTCCTGTCTTCTCCTTCCGTTTTCTTCAGTTGTCTGTAGCACCTTAAAGCGCCACCAACAGGCGTGGGGGATGTACTACAGTGGAGTCAATCGGATTCACTGGGTTCATGTGCACGCGATTTAAAAAGTGGGTAGGTGTGAAAAATGAACCCGGGTTCAGGCAAGAGTCCGTCTGCACGGGGTCTAAGTGCCGTTCAGACGTTGCATTACACTGCATTCAGCAGCGCACTCAATTCCCCCATGGTATGGGGGGGGGGGGGGGGGGGAGAGACTATATGTGGGAACCAACAGCTCCCCCACTAACTACAGCGATCATCAAGTTGTACCCAATAAATAGGGTGAATGTTTGAAGGGGATTCAGAAGGTTAAATAGGTCACAATGTTGTGATTTTGAAAAATGTGGTATCAAGGAGGTTCTGGTGTTACATTTACAATGTTCTTTTAAGTGGTGAAAGGAAAAATGTCTTGCGTTTTTATAAATACGTTTCCTGTGAGTGGGAGTGGAAAAGAAGACCTTAAACGATCCCTTGTCTAGTTGTTGTTGTTGGGGACGTCATGACGTCTAAATATTGTCCGTCTTCATTCAAAACCATTGGGTTTCTGTTTGTTTACTACAGGTGAGTCTAAGTCCAAACAAATGCTATTTTGCATGCTTGACAACCACAACACGCAGTGAAACATAAAAACAGTTAATATGTGACGTGTGGCTCTGCAACAAACCTACCACCATGTCTTCTTCCTCTTCATCCTCTTCCTCCTGAAACAGACATCATTTAAGTTACTTGCAGGTAGGAATTAAACATGTAAAAACTAGCTGGATAACTTCAACAACGACACAACTAGAAGGGCATTTTGATTCCGCTGTATAAATGAGCTTCATCATGTTTCTGAACGCAGACATTGACATAAACATTAACGTCTGCTGAGGCTAACTTAAGCTGGTGATGACATTAGTAAACGTTAGCTTAGTTAGCCGTGTTGTGTTAGCTTGCAAGCTAAAGTAGCCAAACGTTACTGCCTCCACACAGTTAACGTCGTATTGAATCTGTCGTAGCTACTAACATCCTCGGGCTCTCCGTTCAGGATCATCTTCTCCTCGAAAACCATTATTGTGGGGTGTTCTCGCCCTTAGATAACCGGCTGTCAACTATTGAGTGTTGGAGGACACGGAGGGTCACGCGAGCTCAGCTGTTAGCCACGAAGTTAGCGAAAACAAGCCCACAGCTTCCGGTCACGAGACTTTCAAAACAAAACACCCAGCTCAGCAACTTCAGATTTATTGTGCGATCCGATCTATGAAATAAAATAAGTATGCTTTCATTGAAAACGTTAATTAGAATATACTTATAAATGCTGTTTGAGTAGTGCAGGAAGTCAACAAACTAGCTCAGTGTATGTCAATAGTGTAGATTGATGCATAACCACGTGGATCTACAGATGTCTGAGGTCATGCAATGCTAGGGTATAACTCTAAAGTTTGCAATAGTATTAGTTTTAACAACAAATACAATAATATTTACCGTAAAACCCACTCAGTAGTGTTTTTCAATGTGACCAAAATTATGTTTTATTTTTACATTCTTTGTAAACATGTACATTTCCGTCGTCCAAATTTCTAAAGCTCCATGCTACCATCTTATGATGAAAAGTAGTATTTCATCAGCTAAATTAATTCTTAATTTAATTAGTATCTTTTTAATTTATTTGGGAATTGATTTGTTCTGTAGCAGCACTGCAGTCCAAAACTCAGCCTTTGTGTTGTGCCATGGTGAGGCTACATCAATGGTTAAGGTCACTGATTAACAGTGTTTGCAAATCCTTTGCAATTTGTAAAGAGGGCAGGGTCCAGTGCAAAGGGGGCTTTTGCTATGAAACCAAATGTCAACAGATAGCTGGAGAGCAATAGGGGATATTACTGGCTCCGAGCAACTCACCAGTCTTTTACTTGACAAATAAAGTTAGAAAAACACAGAATACACATAGAAAGGCTTAAGTCCTCGATTAAATAATGGATTCAATCTTTTCTATTTGTGGTTCCTGTTTTAACTTGGATGTCAAAAATTTTCTGATCTTTGCTGTAGTTTTCCTCCTCAGCGCAGATTACATAAAGAACCGTCGGCCGGGAAGCTTCCCTCCGGGGCCCCCGGCACTTCCTATCGTGGGCCACATTTTCAACCTGGATTACACGAGGGTTCACGTGAGCTTGACACAGGTAACAGATGTCAAAATATAGACCATTACCAATGTCATTACCAATGTCGTAAGCACCGTGCTCTTCCTCCACTCAGTTAGCTGGGAGGTACGGAGACGTGTACAGCCTTCGAATGGGTCAGAGATGGATGGTTGTGTTGAACGGGATCACGGTTCTGAAAGAAGCTCTGGTAAATCAGGGAGACAGCGTGGCAGACCGCCCGTATTCCCCTCTGCAGCATGACGTATCTTATGGACTAGGTGAGCAGACTTCAAACTAAGTCTGTACTCAACTCTGCTATTGGGGTCGTCTGTATACAGGAAAGCATTGTGATCATTTAATGTTTTTTGAGCAGTCAGAAATGTAAAGACCAACTCCTGAATATTGCTTATTCATTTGTTTTACCTGTTGTCCACTATCAGGTGTAATTTTCAGTAATGGGAATAAATGGAAGCAGCAGAGACGTTTTGCACTTTCAACCATGAGACATTTTGGATTTGGCAAGAAATCGCTTGAACCCGTCATCTTGGATGAATTTATATGTTGTGCGAAAAACTTCAAGAGCCATAAAGGTAAATATAGCAAATGCACAGTGACCCATTAACATCTATATGCATGTAGAAATATTCCATTTACATCAAATTTTCTTTTTAAATGTGCAGGTAAGCCCTTTGATCCACACCTCATCGTCAACAATGTTGTTTCCAACGTCATCTGCTCCCTGGTTTTTGGGCATCGTTTTGAATACGGTGACGAGAAGTTCCTCAAACTGATGAAATGGTTTGCTGATGGTTTTGAATTGGAAGTCTCCGTTTGGGTACAGGTACAGTTTTTTCATGCTCTATATATGCACAGCTATGCCGTACACACATATCCAATGTGTAATAAATACATTGTAATATGTGGCATTTATTAAACATACATTTTTCTCTGCAGTGCCTTTGCAATCGTTATTGTTCCAATATGCTTTACTCTACAGCTTTACAACTCCTTTCCTGTGCTGATGAGACGTTTGCCAGGTCCTCATCAGGCAGTCCGGCACATCTGGAACAATGTGAAGGACTTCATAGGGGTGGAGCTGAAGGAGCACAAACAGAACTGGGATCCCTCCGACCAAAGAGACTATATCGACTGCTACCTGAATGAGATTCAGACGGTGATTGACGGGATGTATTTTTCTGTATTGTCCATGGAGAACTTGGGAACATCACATCTGCTTGTCATGCATCTAAATCAGAACCATCAGCAGTTAATGTGTACAAACTCAATGTTTAATTGTGGTATTCCTCCTCGCTGCAATGTGTTGAAATGTGACAGAAACAGACACACATTTGTGTGCTATTCATAAGTAATGATTAAGAGTTATTACACATAAATGGGAAGTTCTATCTAGGACATCCTGGAAGTAACCATTATAACCCCTGCTTTGACACTTGTATTTTCATATTTTCTCAGAGTAAGGGGCAGGCTGACAATACTTTTGATGAGGAAAACCTAGTATTATGTGTCTTGGATCTGTTTTCGGCTGGATCTGAGACCACATCTACCACCTTGCGCTGGGCTTTCCTCTACATGGTGAAGTACCCCGAGATCCAGGGTAAGAGCCGCGACCAAATCACTGAAGGTCTTTGTTATTACTCAATACTGTGCACATGTGTGATACTTCAACCACCATTGTGAATTTTTAATTGAAAGAATTGAAAGAAAAGTGATTGTGCAATAATTCGAGACCTTCACAAGCGTCATTAATGATACATAACAAACATCTTCCTATATAACAGCATAGCCTTGGTTGACTGGAGCAAGTATGCAAATCAACAGGAACACAAATTATTATATACACTAATGTGGCAGTGCTACATTGCTCTGTCTCCAACTCTCCATGATTATTTTAGGACATGTTGATTCATAGTCATACAAACTTTGTCTGTTTCCACTGTTTTACAGCAAAGGTCCAGGCTGAGATAGACAGAGTGATTGGACAGTCCAGACTGCCGTCCATGGAAGATCGAGCCAACATGCCGTACACAGACGCCGTCATACATGAGGTCCAAAGGATGGCCAACATAGTTCCTCTCAGCCTGCCTCATATTACCAGCAAAGATATACAGCTGGGGGGCTACACAATCCCAAAGGTCAGTTCTCATGTACAATATCTATCTCTTATACACAACCATGTTGCATCTTTACAGTTGCCTTTACAATTCCGATCACCAGGGAGTTACAATAATCCCCAATCTGACCTCCGTGCTGTTTGACAAGAATGAGTGGGAGACGCCGGACACCTTTAACCCGGGACACTTTCTGAACGAGGAGGGCAAGTTTGTGAAGTCAGCGGCTTTCATCCCTTTCTCTGCTGGTGAGGAACAACACAATGACTCTCTTGTGTTATTAGTATCTAAACGTGTTTATATTCAAGCGTGGAGACTTTGCCAGCATTCCCACGGTGATCCTCACTTAATGATTGCTCATCAGCCCAGGGTAAACTGTAATGATCAAGCAGAGGACGCAGACAAGATAGAAGCCAAGGCTCATAACCAGGTCTTTATTGTGGTTAATGTCAGTGTCTGATCCCTCCACTTCTGTCCCAGTTATTAGAGAATTTCTTGCAGACAGCAGCAGACATGCTCAGGTATGTTATTAGAGGATGCAGCCTTTGTAGAGGCCACATAGGTAGATCTGCTGTGGCGTCCGGGTGACATAGGAGGATCCGAAGTGTTGTCCAGAAAACAACAAACCACCCAAAACTCTTTTTATGTGAGGTCTGATTGAGTGGCTTGAAGATTTTAAGATCCGAGCAAATGTAGCAGTGGTATGATTGCGAGGACAAGCGGCTGATGATTTGGATGAGGTATTCTGGTTTGCCACTATGGGAGGCTTTGATAGCGCCGGCGATTCTAATGGAGTGTCCGGAGTGCGAGGTTGGAGAAATGCCGGAAGAGGAGAGAATGTGGTGTAAGTGCTGGTGGAACCAGAATCTGGTAGCTACTGTACTTCGCCAGATTCTGTGGTGAAGTGAGTCTGTTGGTGATATGCTTTCGGATTTTCGAAACTGCGAGTATGTCGAAAGGGTCTCGGCATGATCAATGACACGTTGGATCGTCCTTGCTGATATGTCAACTACTGGGAGGTTGTAGGACTAAATGAGGATACTTGTAGCCCGACAGAATGGCTGCGCTATGATGGGGTGGATCTCGAAGAGTGCAAAGGAAGTTGCTAGGCAATCTCTCGCAAACTCTGGAGGCCATTTTGCCACAAACCATCTTCCGTTGTAGAAGACCAACAGAAAAAGCTGTGGCTTTGTACAAATATAAATCGTGGGCATGTGTTAATGTTTCATTGTAAAAAAAAGTAATCCCGTTTGGAGCAAAGGTTCAGCCAGAGACAGTTCGGAGTGGCCGCAATTCTCTAGGGGGATGAAATCCTGGAGAGATGGACAAATGCCAAGAGGTGAATGATCTCCCTTGAGGGACGATGCGTAGAGCGAAGTTTAGGTGGCCCAAACTGGCATGGGTGGCAGCGAATGGTGCTACTGGGAAGTGTTAAGGTCTGGCATCCTGGTGCCAGGGGTTACTCCAAGCATTTTGGGTGACTGGGAGAGAGTGGTGGGGGTGCCGGCATCCCGCAAGAGCCCCCGCTAGAGCTTCTGCGGCAGTGGGAATTGCAGAGACGGGCCCTAGGACCCCTGTGCTAGGTGCTCCTGCTAATGCTAGCTGGAGAGGTCTTTCTTTTCCACGTTGTTCCACTGTTCCATTGTTGTTCCAAATGTTTGGTTAGTTTCAGTTTTTTTTCCTGTCACAGGTAAGCGGTTGTGTCTCGGGGAGAACCTGGCCAAGATGGAGCTTTTCCTCTTCTTCACTTCCTTCATGCAGCACTTTACCTTCTCAATGCCTCCGGGGGTGAAGCCTGTGATGGACTTTTGTTTCGGCATCACTCTGGTACCACTTCCTTACGAGGTCTGCGTTACCTCCCGCTAAGAGTGGCTCCTGAATGAAGAACAATTTAAAAGGCTAAATTTAACAGCATTGGTGAATTATTTAATATTTGTTTTGATCAATTCATATTAAAAATGTTCATTGAAGTTTAAAATGTGCCTTTGTTCTGAAACATTTAGATCTGGCTCCATAGTCACTGAGCTCTAAAGGTCAACCGCAAAAATTGTTACAAAGCTGCAGTTTAATTAAAAAAGTTATTCATCACGGATTGCAAATTCAATCTTTATATTTAATCAATAAGGTATGAGAGGCTGTAATTTATTGTCCAATAATGTTTGGGGGTGTTGTTAGGCCTGACACGCAGCGGAAGGCCGGCAACCCTCAAGTACCTTATTGCTTTTATAGTATAGCTACCAGCGAAATGATATATACTGTAGTAAGTAAATAGCTGCCTTTCAGCACAATATAGTATTAGGCACCAAATGTTGTGTATAGCATTTCAGTAGCCCAGAGAAAATAGTCCCCGTACGTGTATGTAAACAGCATTGGGTCTCCTTGCAAGATCTCGCACCATCTCATTCATTCACATTGCTCATGACGTCCACCTTAATTGTCCGGTTGTGAAAGCTCGAATTGGCCGTAACCGATCATTTGTGGGATTTCTGGACTTTTTTTGGCGATCGCCACCGAGCTAAAAGCTGAAATGTCAACTAAAGGTCACGCAAAATCTAACCTGTTACTTTGAGTGCGCAGTGAAATGCAACGCTCGGGTCAATGTGAACCGGTACCCCGTGACTCACTCTCAACCAATCAGAATGCTGGTTTTCATCTACTTGTATTATAAAATCTGTTAATCACAAAAAAACATTTTCTGCTGACAAAACCGGTTAGTTTATGAGCTCGAACAACAAATGTATTTCTTAGCCTGAACTGAAATCTCAAGTCACCAATAACAACAGCGGCTACATCCCGATCATCACCGTGGTACTTTCATCATTTATGCATGTGCAGTGGGTGACAAAGCACTTAACAAAACCAATATAGACAATTGTGGATGGAGAATATGAAGAAACTGGAATTCCGTGTGACCGTAGAAGAAGGCAGATGGTTGACATTCTTGCAGCACAAGTTTATGACACCAAACAATGTAATTGTTTGTGTGGATTCTTTAACTTGTTTAAAATAGAACAGTTAACAGTAGCGTTTAGCCGGTCAACAGCCAAGGATTACTTCTGTTGTTTATTTTCCTTTACAAATTCCGATATTGTGTAACTACTGAATATCCACTGGACGTTGTCAGGATCTCTGATCCCCCCGAGTTGGTTGATGAGAAGAATCGCAGCACGTTGATCAATTAAAGTCAAAAAGTTAACATTTATTTAGAAGAGAAAAAGATTACATGAGCAATTCTCCGCAGATATCTGGCTCTAACTATTGCTTGCAAGCAGGAGGTCCCACACACCAGCACGTATCTCAGCGCTCGGTGTAATGACGTCCCCGAGCAGTAAAAACGCTGAGTCTTTATACACATGTGAAGGACATTCTCCGTGCCAGCTACTAGAAGCTACAAAGCAGGTTGAGATAAGAACCCAGGTGAAGCTGAGGGTAGCACACACACAAGATCCTCCTCAGTGGCCGGTGCAAATCATAATTAATTGACATAAAGTAAAAAATGTGGATCCGGAACTTTCGTACCGAATAAGATATTAACCAAGGCCGTGAACAGAAGTCCTTTGTTTTGAAGCGTCTATGAGCTTGAGTTGACCGCCCTCCCTTCTCAGGACACAGCTGCAAAGCAACATTTTGTATCATGCTGCTCTTTGCACATCAGGGTCAAATACAGGACACTTGAGACACAGCTTTAGCACAAAACAATGTTATAATATATTTTACCAGTACATGCATCTCACAACGTCGATATTCAGAAATGTCTTTGCCTTTGGAGTCTAAATATTGCTGTTCTTTACTAGTCACGGGACTAAAGAAAAGAAGCAATGACCTCTACCTTGCAGGAAACGCAGGCACTAAACACCACATTAGTCAGAGGTTAACAGAACTCACTACATTTAACAGGCCCCTAGATGTCATGAATCCACCTTCTACATATCATATGTCAAAAGACCTGAAAAAACTATGTTCTATGATTACAGAAAATAAGCGCGGCGGAAATAATATATTCATGCCCTCTATTAGCTGTGCTGCGCTGCAAGCAATGGTCATGCGGCTTTGTTTGTATCCATGACTAGACATTTCTCCCTATCCGAGTCTGACAACAGTACTGCAACACCTGCCTCTTAGTTTGATTAAAGTGATTACATTTAAGGATACTGTTCTTTGAATGTATTGCTGTTTGTAATTGAATATTTATACAAAAAAATAATGTTCCTTACACTGCAAAGTAATTTCAATGGTTAAGGTCACTGATAAACAGTGTTTATAAATCTTCACTAAGTATCGGAAGGGAAGAGTTCAGTACTGTTGCTTTAAAGCCAACAGCCCACAGTGAGCCTCTCCCTCCCTGCAGAGCGAAAAGGGCTATTACTCTCTTTGAGCAACTCACTAGTCTTTAACTTGACAATAGAAGCTAGCAAAACACAGAATACACATAAAAAGGCTTGGGTCCTGGATTAAATAATGGACTCAATCTTTTCTATATGTGGTTCCTATTTTACCTTAGATGTCAAAAGTTTTCTGCTCTTTGCTGTAGTTTTCCTCCTCAGTGCAGATTACATAAAGAACCGTCGGCCGGGAAGCTTCCCTCCGGGGCCCCCGGCACTTCCTATCGTGGGCCACATTTTCAACCTGGATTACAAGAGGGTTCACGTGAGCTTGACACAGGTAACAGATGTCAAAATATAGACCATTACCAATGTTACAAGTTTCCCGGGTGGACTGTTGGTGTTGTCTGTCGTAAGCACCGTGCTCTTCCTCCACTCAGTTAGCTGGGAGGTACGGAGACGTGTACAGCCTTCGAATGGGTCACAGATGGATGGTGGTGTTGAACGGGATCACGGTTCTGAAAGAGGCTCTGGTAACTCAGGGAGACAGCTTGGCAGACCGCCCGGATCTCCCTCTGCAGCATGACATAGCTCATGGACTGGGTGAGCAGACCTCACACACTCCCTATAAAGTCTGTATTCAACTCAATGCTATTGGGGCGTCTGTGATACAGGAATGCATTGTTAAGGGACTGTTACAGAAAATGGGGGGTAGTTATATAGTAATAATATATAAATATATATATAATAGCCATTCATGAATATTAACATCTGATTCATTTGTATTACTTGGTGTCCACCATCAGGTGTGATTTTCAGTAATGGGAATACATGGAAGCAGCAGAGACGTTTTGCACTTTCAGCCCTGAGACATTTTGGATTTGGCAAGAAGTCCCTTGAACCCGTCATCTTGGATGAATTTACATATTGTGTGAAAGACTTCAATAGCCATAAAGGTAAATAGCAAATGCACAACGACACTTTAAGATCTATACGCAATTTTAAATTTACAGTTTTTATCCAATTTTCCGTTTAATCATGAAGGTAAGCCCTTTGATCCACACCTCATCGTCAACAATGTTGTCTCCAACGTCATCTGCTCCCTGGTTTTTGGTCATCGCTTTGAATACGGTGACGAGAAGTTCCTCAAACTGATGAAGTGGTTTGGCGATGCTCTTGAACTGGAAGCTTCCATTTGGGCTCAGGTACAACATTTTAGAGCTGTTGATGAAATCCTATTGCTGTCTACATAATTGAGGATTCATTTCTCATTATATGTTGGAAGGTTTATCAGTCATGCTTGCAGTTCTATTTGTACACAGGTAAGCCGTACACACGTGGCTCAAGGAGAATAAACGCATTTTAATATGTTGCATTGAGATTAATTAAACAATATTATTCTCTGCAATGCCTTTGCAATCGTTATTGTTTCAATCTGCTTTACTCTACAGCTTTACAACTCCTTTCCTGTGCTGATGAGACGTTTGCCAGGTCCTCATAAGGACCTCCAGCACATCTGGAACAATGTGAAGGACTTCATAGGGGTGGAGCTGAAGGAGCACAAACAGAACTGGGATCCCTCCGACCAAAGAGACTATATCGACTGCTACCTGAATGAGATTCAGACGGTGATTGACGAGATGTATTTTTCTGTATTGTCCATGGAGAACTTGGGAACATCACATCTGCCATCAGCAGTTAATGTGTTGGACAAACTTAATGTTTAATTAATCGTCGACATGTGTTGAAATGTGACAAATACCGCCACATTTTTGTGTGCTGTTCATAAGTGATGATCGAGAGGTATGACACATTGTTCTTTGGAAAATTCTATAATAGAAGGAACCTGTAAGTAACCATCATAGACAATTACGACCCCTGCTGTGATATCGTTGACATACAGCTGTTATAAATGATTTAGAAGCACTTTTTGACTCTTGTATTTTCAAATATTCTCAGAGTAAGGGGCAGGCTGACAATACTTTTGATGAGGAAAACCTAGTATTATGTGTCTTGGATCTGTTCTTGGCTGGATCTGAGACCACATCTACCACCTTGCGCTGGGCTTTCCTCTACATGGTGAAGTACCCCGAGATCCAGGGTAAGAGCCGCGACCAAATCACTGAAGGTCTTTGTTATTACTCAATACTGTGCACATGGTTGATGCTTCAACCACCTTTTGTGAATTTTTAATTAAAAATTAGGCACATTTTTCATATATTGCCATGGTGACAATAATTGTGCAATAATTTGAGACCTTCACAAGCCTGATTCATTATCTTTTGTCTGTTTCCACTGTTTTACAGCAAAGGTCCAGGCTGAGATAGACAGAGTGATTGGACAGTCCAGACTGCCGTCCATGGAAGATCGAGCCAACATGCCGTATACAGACGCCGTCATACATGAGGTCCAAAGGATGGCCAACATAGTTCCTCTCAGCCTGCCTCATATTACCAGCAAAGATATACAGCTGGGGGGCTACACAATCCCAAAGGTCAGTTCTCATGTACAATATCTATCTCTTATACACAACCATGTTGCATCTTTACAGTTGCCTTTACAATTCCGATCACCAGGGAGTTACAATAATCCCCAATCTGACCTCCGTGCTGTTTGACAAGAATGAGTGGGAGACGCCGGACACCTTTAACCCGGGACACTTTCTGAACGCGGAGGGCAAGTTTGTGAAGTCAGCGGCTTTCATCCCTTTCTCTGCTGGTGAGGAACAACACAATGACTCACTTGTGTTATTAGTATCTAAACGTGTTTATATTCAAGCTTGGAGACCGTGCCAGCATTTGATGATTTTGGGGAGCTTCTGACTTTTGGTCTGGATCTAAAATTGGGACCAACCGCTCTACCTCTTAAAAAAGTCCTCTGGAAATGACTGCAACTGTTTTCTTATCCTAAATTCCCCTTAGGACCAAAACTTCTCAACTGTCTTAAAGAAATGTCCAGTTTTTTTCAGTTTGTTTTCCTGTCACAGGTAAGCGGTTGTGTCTCGGGGAGAACCTGGCTAAGATGGAGCTTTTCCTCTTCTTCACCTCCTTCATGCAGCGCTTTACCTTCTCAATGCCTCCTGGGGTGAAGCCTGTGATGGACTTTCGCTTCGGCATCACACTGGCACCATTTCCTTACGAGGTCTGCGTTACCTCCCGCTAAGAGTGGCTCACGAATGACATTTTTTTCAGAAAGCAGATTTGTTGATGTTAGCACGTATTATTTTCACTGTGACAAGGTCAATGCATATATAAATATTTGGCTTAAAGATATATCTGTAGTTTTTTAGGCTAGTTTAAGAGATTGCTGAATTGTTTAGTTTAGTGTTTCTAATCATTTTCTAATAAAAATGTGAAATAGTCCCTTTGTCTGTCTGTTTCTTTCTTTCATGGAAGTTTAAAATGTGCATATTTTCGCTGTGGTTTCCAAAGCCTGGCTGTATCACATTAATTGTTTTGATGTAAGTTAGTTAACATAATGACAGTCCAGTCCTATCACTGTTATCACTCAGTGTTGACATCCGATAGCAATTAAGTCTGTTTTTAATTTTAGAATACTAACTGCAATTGAATAGGTCTCTAAACTATTCAAATATTTCTACGGCTTTCTTTCATTTGAGATTGAAATATGTTATATGTCTTAAACAATATTTTGGGTTTCCAACAGCCGCCCTGGGGGATATGGAGGTCAATATCTACAGAACATACTTTTTATTTTACGTTGATCCTTGAGAATAAGGCAATTATACCATGCTGTAATACTGGAATTGCTGGGATCATTTGTTTTTAGTTTTGAGATGAGACGATAAATTAATCAGCAGAAGGCAACTTAAAATGTTTATTGTCTGTGCTAATAACTAACTTCAAATGCATTTTTATATTAAAACAATAGGTGGTGATCAGTCAAAAGGCAAAACGTATGAATAAACTTAATTAATTATAAAATAACTGCCTTGTTATTATTGTGGAGATCCAAAGTGTTTCACTGTTGACTTAAATCCAGCCAATCACAGCCTAGCCCTCGAACCAGCTGACTTGTCCACCACGGTGTCTAGATAAGAGCTTTTTCCCGACCTCTGCTCCTGCAACATGCGACGAAGCAAACACGAGGCCCGACCCAGTGGCTCCCTATCGCTATGGACCAACTCTCCGGTGTCTCCTCCACCTGGCTGTGGCTGGACGGCCGCAGCCTGCTGCTCTTCACGCTGGTTGTCCTGGTGACCGCAGAGTATCTGAGGGCCCGGCGGCCCAGTGGCTTCCCCCCGGGGCCCTGGCCGTTTCCCCTCGTAGGCAACATGTTCTCCTTAGACCCCAGCAACGTGCACGGGGACATGACTAAGGTAACGCGTCCGTTTGTAATGCGTCCCATTGAGGGGAATAAATAACCTTAAACAAAAAAACATTAAAGGACAAAGCAGGACTATCTTCTAGCTGAATTGCTGATTTCATGAATCTGAACGGGATAGATGTGGATATTATTTCAAGCAAAAGTCCCACTAAAACAATTGCCGTTTAATTCATTTAAAAACATTTTTCCCTTGCCTCCCAACCTTTGAGATCTACAATTCAAATGCCCCATTTGTAATTAGACACCTATACAATGTGGTTTTTCCTGCTTTTCTGAGCATTGTCTCAGAGCTCAAAGTGAAGGCGGGGAGTTTGCTTTTCGTCTCACGTTGTTTACATTGTGTTGTTGTCTTTGTGGCAGTTGGCAGAGAAGTATGGCAAAGTGTACAGCCTGAAAATGGGCCCTTTGTGGTCGGTGGTGTTGAACGGCCTCAGCGCGGTGCAAGAGGGTCTCGCCGAAGGAGACTACGCGAATGGCCGGCCGGATTTTGCAATACATTCCGATGTGTTGCCTGAACTGGGTAGAGAATTATATTTTACTCCATCACCGTGTTTTTACTCGTTGAGTTTGACAATCAGTCAGGAACAATATTTTATTAAAGCGGAACTGCTGACGTTTTTTGAATAAGATATTTCATCCATTTTGAGGATTCAGAAGCATTTCGGTTCCTTGAGTTCAGTTGCTGATGTTGATTTAGAAAGGACTTTGACTTTAAGTTCTGGTGTGGCTATTGAATCAGACATTAGTCACTATATTCATGTATATGTGCATGTTCGTGACAAGTTTATTTACGTATTCCTCTGGAGTTTTATCATATTTAAGATAAAGTCACTGAGTTTTCCACTTGACTGTTTTATAACTGTGATCTGAATTTGTTGTTGGTTCTAAATCTAAATTATAATTTTTTTCATTAGGTATTGTTTTTTCCAATGGACATTCGTGGAAACAGCAGAGGCGATTTGCCCTCATCACCCTCAAATACTTTGGCGTTGGCAAGAAATCATTGGAATCCTCAATACTGGAGGAATTTATTCATGCATCCAAAGAAATTGCTAGTCATGAAGGTAAAAATAATGACGCAGATATCTAAAACTCAAGTCAAATACATACCATTTCTTACTACTCTGACTACACACTCAAATTTCAAATTTAATATGTTTGTTTATGTAATCAACTGTCCAGGCAAACCTTTCAAACCAAACGTATTAATGCGCAACGCTGTCTCCAACATCATCTGCGCCCTGGTTTTTGGTCATCGCTTTGAGTACAGTAACGAGAAGTTTCAAAAAATGTTGACGTTGTTGGACAACGGGACGCGGATTGAAGCCTCCATTTGGGCTCAGGTACTCCTAATAATCCCTCCTATTAATGCATCTGAATACTATCCTGATCGATTTTCATCAATCTTTTGATGACGCAGACAACGTGCTTGGTGTAGCGCTTTGAGGTAAATGTGCTACCGGTCTTATTCACCAGCCCTCTTATTGATGTTGACAGATGTACAACGCATTTCCGGTGCTGATGAGGCGTTTGCCGGGGCCGCACCGCACACTTCAAGGGATTTACGGTGAAATATTGGACTTGATCAAGACAGAAGTCGACCAGCACAGGGAGGATTTTAACCCCTCTGAGCCCAGGGACTTCATCGACTGTTACCTGAATGAGATGGAGAAGGTGGGTCGACAAAATGATCAGACTGTATCTTTAAAAGGCATTAATCAGCCTTTACTCTGTCCCGGCCCTTCCATTTAAACATTTGATGCTTTTCTTTCATTTAGGTGACGGGGGCATTCAGTTGATTAGAACCGAGTTAACCCCACTGTGACTTCAAAAGCGGCCCGCTGTGAGAAGGGCCATTATGACATTGTGTACTTTTTCAACTGTTCAGCACCAGGGCAAGAGGGACGATGAAGCGGATGCCGGTTTTAATGAGGACAACCTGCTGATGTGTTCCTTCGATCTGTTCGGGGCTGGCACTGAGACCACGTCCACCACCCTGCTCTGGGCTTTCCTCTACATGGCAAAGTACCCCGAGATTCAGGGTATAAAGAGCTCACAGACAAGAAGTCATTGGGAGGTTGCTTTGGCAGCAAAAAAAAGGTGCACACCTGAATCGCCGTCATTAACTTCCAGGCTACTTTGCTTTTGCGTCCCTGCTGTCCCGTTCGGACAGCAAAGGTCCAGGCTGAGGTAGGCCGAGTGATCGGACCGTCCCGACAGCCGTCCATGAAGGATCGCGCCAACATGCCCTACACGGACGCCGTCATACACGAGGTCCAGAGGATCGGCAACATAGTTCCTCTCAGCCTGCCTCATATCACCAGCAGGGATGTGCAGCTGGGGGGCTACACAATCCCAAAGGTCAGTTCTCATGTACAATATCTATCTCTTATACACAAACATGTTGCATCTTTACAGTTGCCTTTACAATTCCGATCACCAGGGAGTTACAATAATCCCCAATCTGACCTCCGTGCTGTTTGACAAGAATGAGTGGGAGACGCCGGACACCTTTAACCCGGGACACTTTCTGAACGAGGAGGGAAAGTTTGTGAAGCCAGCGGCTTTCATCCCTTTCTCTGCTGGTGATTATTGTTTCATAACTTTTTCTTTGTTAATATTATGTTTAGTTACCAGGGCCCCTGATTTCACCACCTTTCTAATGTCATGGAAGAATTTGTTCATTTTAGTTTAAGTTTAAGTTAAGATCATGGGTTGACTTACACTCTGAAATCCTTCAAACAACTGTTTCAAATGTGAGGAATATTTAATTTTTTTGTACGTGCAGACGAATAAAAGTAAATGCTGCATTTTAAGCATAACTGGGATGTAACTATGTAGGTATTAAGGAATGATTGCCGGTTGTCTGATGACTTGTCGTTGTGTGACTTTGCTGCAGGCAAGCGATTGTGCCTCGGGGAGAACCTGGCCAGGATGGAGCTCTTCCTCTTCTTCAGCTCCTTCATGCAGCGCTTCAGCTGGTCCATGCCTGCGGGCGTGGAGCCTCTGCTGAAGCCCCGTTTTGGCATCACCCTTTCACCCGAACCGTATGAGATCTGTGCTATTTCACGCTGAGAGTGATTCACCTGCTCAAGCGTTTGCACATTTTTGATATATATTCCCAGTTTTTCCTTTTTAAACATTTTTGCATTTATTTAGTCCTGTAAGTCCTGTAAGTACTGCCTCAGTCTACAATAAGTCTTAATAAACCATCTGGATCTTCAGGGTGCTGAAGGTTTTTTTCTGCACAAACCAGTTTAGTTAACAACGTGTGTCTGGACTTAAACAAGGAGCTTCAGTGGTGCTTGAAGGGAACAGTAATTGTTGGGTGAGGGTTGATCGTATCTCACATGAAACCTTTGACCTGCTTAACCAGTGAAGTGGAAAAGGAAAGCATGTACAAACAAGGTGATAAACCTGTGTGCTGGGTGAGAGGGCAGATATTCACACCGCGGCAATAAGAACGTGCAGTCTCACACTGCAGATCAGTTATTTACTTTGAGTAGTCGTGAGGCTGCTTTTGTGGGTTGTTTAGTTGTTCCGCAGAGACAGCTCAACATTTCATTCAGTCACTGTGGTTCAAAATCAGAGGAATCAATCTCACCAACGTGTATGTTGTTGTGGCACTTTATCTTTATTGGTGATATTCCCTAAACTGAACTATTTTCAGTACTCTCACGCATAAATTATTATCAGACCATCATTAGGTTAACAGCCTGTAAAAAAAATTGACATATACAAATATGACAAATAATTCAACCATTGCACATTTAATGTGCTGAGGAATATTTCTTGTACAATGGAAACATAATAGTTTGTCCAGAACCTATTTAAAGATAACTGTCGGCTTATTTTAGATCAAATAAGTAGACGCCCTCAGAGACGCCACAACAATCCAGTCAATAATGCAGTCGCACTTTAGAGTTCACAGCTCGTCTGGTCTCAGTTCTCGCCTGGTGTCCGTTGGGGGACGTTTCCTCGTGACGTGGAGCGTTTCAACAACAGCGTTTCATTCTTCATCTGCCGTTCTTCTCTGGACATTGGATTTTGTAGCCCACCCTGTAGGCCTGCAGGTACACGCGAGCCTGGTTCATCCTGAAAAACACAGCATTTACTTTCAACTTTAGCACACCTTTCAAATGAACTTGAATAACCTCATCTATCTATGTGCATAAGGAAAAGCACGAGGGAGAAAAGTTCTTGTAACATGACTAAAAGGCTGTGGGATGAAACTCCATCCTTTTGCTACAAATAACTACTCATTGCGTTGAGTTCCTACAAACTTAAATCAAATATAAATCACATGTTTTAGGTTCAAGTTCAATCGTGGGCTTTTTAAGAAAATTTCAGGTCGTTTCTAAATTTTCCGTAAACACGTGACCTGTATTTAGTGCAGAGCTGAACTCCCAGAGGTCCACAGCGGTCCACGTAACTCTCCCTAACCGCCTTCCTTACAGCTCGAGCCATCCCGACCACGGTGGTGACCACAGGACACGTCCTACGACACACGCAAACACACAGCCATGAAAACAAGTAACAACAATGCCGTTGCTGGTGTCGTTCATGCTTACAGTCTCTCACAGCGCAGGCCAGCAGTGCCCTCGGGGCAGGTGCAGGTGTTGTGAGGACTGCACGTGGCCCCGTTCCGGCACGGCGGTACACAGGGGACGGTCACTGCTGTAGACGTACACCGCACGGTAAAGGTGTTAATGCAAAGCGAAGGCGTAGAAAAGTCTTTCATACACTCACAAACCGACCCGTTTCACAGAGAGTCCCGACGAATCCTTTGGCGCAGCGGCACCTGTTCAAGCCCACGCAGACTCCTCCGTTCTTACAGGGTTTCTCACACTGAACCGGCTCTGAGGGAGTCAGAAGAGACAACACAGAGGAAAGCTCAAATTAGAAATGAACAGAGCATCTGTTATTGTTATTGTAGAAAATAAAAAGTTACATTATTTTCATTGGAACATTTCATTGGATAATATAATTACTTTGACTATTGAGCACTTATCGTGCAAGATATGTGGCTCAAAGTGATTTCAATAATAATACAATAAGAAGAATGACATTAAAGAAGAACAACGGTAAATATGTAAAATGTTGTTGCACAACCGTTTTTTCAGGTGCCTACAGTGTGAAATCTAATGATGGAAAATCACAAGACAGAGTCTTCAATAAGTAAAATAACCTTCTACCCTCCACTTTGTAGATAAAATGTTCTACCTTAGTGCAAACAATGAGGAGAGAAGCAGTTCTCTTAGGGCTATTTATCTTTAGATTCACAAAATAATTTTGAGACGGGAGAAGAATTTGTGCACAGCTCCCCCAGCTGGCTGCCTGGAGAACTGCACACTCAACAGTGTTGACGTTTTTTTTAAATAGCCGGGTGTTCCCGGAGCAATGGCCATCTTCACAACCGCTTATCTTACTTCTTAACATCTTACTAATGTTCGGTTGATTAATTGCCTTGCCTATACAGTGGCAAAAAATAATTGAGGACATCATCAAAACGCTTCTTTTGTCTGGACAGCAATTAAAAACCTGAATATATCAGGTTAACCATCATATAAGAAAAAGAAAAGGAACATTTGAGAGGCAGAAACCAGCAAGTTCCAGTTGCGATTTAGTTCCAACCTACGCCTTATGATATGATTAAATACATATATAATCACGGTAAATAACAAAATGTTCTACATTGTGGGTCCAGCTATTTTTGGCTCACAATTTGTTATTTTGCCTCGAATAGCTTTTATCTCCCTAAGGAGGGGATTTAGGATACAGCCAGTAAATAATGATAAACACTGAAAAATAGAAAAAAGACAATAATAAATATGTGGAATGTTCATAAGTTAATGAAAACATCACTGTTGTAAATGTCCCTCAAACATGTACAGTAATCCGCAAAGAGGAGAAGAAGCCAGAACAGGGAAAACGCTGCTGCCTCCACAGCCGGTAATCAAATCTCATTTTCTTTATAAAGCCCAACGGATGGAACCACATATCAGTAACTGACTCCTCTAGTCAGGGAAAACCTGCGTCACGATTGAATCAAATTAATTGCATCATAAATTCGAGCACATAATTAAAGTAAAAGCCACGAGAAGTAATGTGGTTGCATAATTTAAAAAGTGTTTTTCACTGTGTTACCCTTTACCATACCAGGTTTTGTGTGTTAGATGCATGCAGACTAATATCTAAATTGTGCAGCAAAGGACATGTAGAGATGTTGAGTGCGATGTCACCTATCTGGCAACGAGCTCCTTGCCATCCACCAACACAAGTGCATTTGTTGACATCAACACATGTTCCCCCGTTTTTGCAGGCTGGAGTGCACAGGGCTGCAAGACACACACACACACACACACACACACACACACACACAAACAGGGATCAATGTAGGCCTGTGTGTTGGAAAACGAATATCCAAACATTTTGACTTATTCTACCAGGCAGTCCTGCTAACGCACATGGAGCCGAGGAGGTAGAAATGCCTTGTTACTCACGCGAGAGGCACTGGGGGCCCGTGTAGTCCGAGGGACACTGGCAGGTATCGGGCGCCACACAGCGACCACCGTTAGCGCAGGGCAGCTCACACAGCGCTGGCAGGAAGAGAGAACGTGACCATCTCGTAACTGCTGATGCAAACAGTGTTTGTTTTTTTCTCGTTCAGAGGCGATGTACCTGTGTGGCAGCCTGCCCCGGCCCAGCCAAGAGGACACAGACACTCGTTCCAGCGCATACAGGTACCTCCGTGGGCGCAGGGTGGGGAGCACATGGCTGAAATACACAATCAACGTGCATCTGATTCTCACAGGAGCAGTAAGCAACTGTGACATCAAAGGTGAGAGGAGGTGTCGAGGTTTGTACCTGAGCAGCCGTGCCCGGGGTACCCCGGGGGACAGTCACAGCTGTTTGGGGCAACACACACTCCATAGTTGTGACAGCGAGGGTTACACACAGCTGGAATGCAAGGGATTTTTAGAATTCTCAGCCCTCACTCTTCCGCCACCTGTGGGATTCGTTTACGGCGTTTCGTTTTTTTTGACGTTTGACTCACGCCGGCACTTGGTGAGGTCGTCGGTCCGCACTTCATACCCAACCCGGCAGGTGCAGTTGAAGCCACCCGGGTGGTTCACACACAGCTGCTCACAGCCTCCGTTTGCGAAGTCGCTGCACTCATTCACATCTTATGACAAGTGACAGGGGGACAGTTACACGGTCCAAAACTCCAAAACCATCGTTAACAAGCTTATCATCCAAGAAAATGTGGCCACAGATGAACCAGTGAACCCATTTCCCTGCTTAATTGCTCGCCTGCTGAGTGCAAAACGGATGAGATGCTGATTGTAGCCATTTACACCTTTCTACCACTTTAATTGTCCATCTGAAAGATTGCAGCAATACATGTTTACACAATATTGCTGCATGCTTGTTTCAAAAGTCTGAACACTTAAATATCCCACTAAACTTTCCCTGCTCAGATGTCACCTTAACTAACCATACCTGTTCCCAAATAAACTGCTTAATTTACAAGGACTAAATGTGCTTCCAATCAGAGTGTCATCAGGACGGAGTAACTCAACATCAAAAGTCAAGTCTCACCCTTGCAGCTCCTCTGGTTCTCGGCCAACTGCCAGCCGGCCCGACAGCGACACTGGACCTGCCGCTCAGCCCTCAGCGTGCACACGTGGTCACAACCTCCGTTTCTCAGCGTGCAGGATGTAACATCTGTTCAATTGGAAAATGGGTTATTTGAACAATGATTTTGCAGAGCTAAAAAAAGAGTGATTTCTTGATAAAACAATAATACAAACCTAATAAATTATTTAATACAAAATATGATGGTCAAATTTCTAAAAAACAAACCGTATCCCAATCTCTAAATTGTAGAATTATTTTTCTAATTTTGTAGCATTTTTCTCTCTTGCTTATTATTAATCACTTAACACTTATTAATCATGAGTTTCATTTGCCGTTCAACTTGTAATAAAAATAATCTTTCATTCATGTAGTAATTATGGCTAACAGTAAAATCCTTGTAGATTATTGGTTTTAAAATTGACTTAATCAAAAGACATCAAAAGAAATGTACTTTTCTCTGAACGAACCAATTGTTATAATTAACAATTAATTAAAGCGGTGGTTTAAGAGTTAAATGAAAGCAATGAGAAAAACAGCTTGACTCTCTTGAAGTTTTCACAATATTGCACACTTTTCCACAATTTTGTGCAAATCGACAAAAGAACAACCTCAAAATGCTGTGAGGAAACATACTGCTGCAGGTGAGGTTGTCTGTGTCCAGCAGAAGAGGAGGAGGACAGTGGCAAGTGTGTCCTCCTGGAGAGTTGGTGCAGGTGTGAGAACAGCCGCCGTTCTGGAGTTTACATTCATCGATGTCTGAGCACAAGCAAACAAACACACACAGAAACGCACACTCACACTCACAACAGATTCTTTAAAGAGAATCTCATATCATGAATCCTCCAAAACGCATCCACTTGCTTATCGGCGGATAGTTATGTAAGAACACAATGTGAGATGACACATTCATGGCACTTTGTGTAAATCAGCCCGTCTGAACGACTCAATTTATGTAATTAATGTAAACTGTGAAAGCGAAAGTCTGTGAGTGACTGACCCACACAGGTGTGGCCATCGATGTGCAGCTGGTAGCCGGGCCTGCAGGAGCACCGGAACGATCCCTGAGTGTTGATGCAAATATGCTGGCAGGTCCCATCCGGCGTCAGACACTCATCAACATCTGAGAGATTGGAAACATCTAAGTTCACTTTTTGGTAACTGCACAACAGGGTTTTAAGTCAAACACTATACTTTTCATTTCAGCACGTTTGGAGTGCCAGATGAGTGTGTTTTGGCAAAAGAGGTTTGGCTCAAGGCATCAAAACGGCCATTGGCTTTCGTAGATGATATTCTAGAGAGAGACGATCCCTTTAAAGATGGAACTCTGTTCCTCTTTCCTTTTAATGTTTACCAGAATAACACACTGACAGGTGGGAATTGATCTGACACCCTACTTCTGACCAAAAGATGTATCCGATATTAAATTATTGCACGTGTGTATATATACACGTGCAATAAATAATAATATATAATAAATAAATATATATACAGTGATCCCTCGCCACTTCGCGGTTCACTTATCGCGGATTCGCTATTTCGCGGATTTTCATATTGCATTTTTTTTTTTTTTGGTGCATTGTGCTCTGCATTCTGATTCGCTAAAAACTCACTCCCGAGCCGTTCATTACAGTTCTCCAACGTAATCGATGGTGGCATGTCGGTGTACAAGGATCTTTTTGCAAAGAAGAAAAAAGAGCGACAACAGCTGCCTATCACTATGTTCTTCTCCCGAACAAACACACCTGCACCGCGGGCTTCAGAAGAAGAGAACACTGCAGAGCGCAGTCAGGATGCAGCGGCCCAGTCTGAAGAGCAGTGAAACGGCCTACACGCGAGTCACTGTATTTGTATACATGTAATAGTTGCTAATTGTAAAAAAAAAAAAGTTTTCTATTTCGCGGATTTCACTTATCGCGGGTCATTTTCGGAACGTAACCCCCGCGATAAACGAGGGATTACTGTATACATATATGCACATGCAGCATATGGTTTTACCTGTGCAGTTGAGTCCATCCATGTCCAGCTGGTAGCCGGAGTCACAAAGGCAGCTGTACCCTCCCGCCCCGTTGGAGCAGTTGTGTTGACAGTGGCCGTTGTTGAGAGCACACTCATCGATGTCTGTAAAGAAGGACGACCCGAAAGGAGTGAGCGCTCGATGCCCCATGCAGGCCTGCTGGCCCTTTATGGGTAACGGTTTGCATGACATACTGTAAGCATCACTGGTGGACCCCTCGGTTCTACTGAGCCCCACTAATGTGGAAAACGCTGCTCACCCACCGAAACAAGAGTGTCCGTCTCCATTGAAGCCCTGGTAGCATTGGCAGAAATAGGAGCCGATGATGTTGCCACAGCGAGCGTTGGTGTCACACCCGTGACCACCTGACGCGCACTCATTCACATCTAAAAAGCACACACGCAGATACATCGTTTCCATTTAATAATTACCCTCCTGCCATCCGGGAGCCTTTTTAATGGAAGGCATAACAGCGAGCATTAAAACACCTGCACACAGGCAAGCTGACCCCATCTGCAGGAGTTTTCCACGGGGAGGGGGGGGGGCGGGGACGTCAGCATTTATTGCTTACCCTCGCAGTGTGTGCCGTTTCCCCGGTAACCTGGTCGACAAACACACTTGTAGCTCCCGAGCGTGTTCTCACACTCGCCCCGACCGTCACACACCGCAGGGCGCTCCGTACATTCATCCACATCTGGAACAGAGACGAGGGGGGACAGGAAAAGAGAATCCTGCATGAATTACACGACTTTTGCATTCACTTTTCATTCACATTGTTCATTCAAAATGTTGTCTCTGCAACACCGTTTGCTGAAAAGAAGATCTTTTCACTCCAGACCTTTGAGTTGATTGTTACCAGGACAATTGATCCCCCTTAACCGGCGGGCAGCATGTGTTGAAGGAAAGAAAGAAGATGTAGCATAGACATACAGGACCCGAGGCCTGGGGTGCAGAAGTGTCAAGGAAAAAATCCCCAAAGTGGGGCGATTATAGAGTACACCAGAGGAAATGAGTCATTAAAGGAAAGGGGAACAAAAGCATGCAGATTAAAGTGCTGTGTCCCCCCCAAAGCCTTCCTTCCTGTCACCAGGAGTTATTGAGTCTGGAGGAACGCGAGTGAATGATGAGAAACCCCTCAAATCTCCCGTAGGGTCGGGGACAGGTGACTAAATGCACACGAGTTGCCCGACATCGGCTTCACCTGCGCAGCTTTTTCCATCGAGGGCCGTTACGAATCCCGAAGGGCACGAGCAGGTGAAGGACCCGGGGGTGTTTCTGCATTTGGCGTCACCCTGACACGCCTGCAGGCCCGTCGCTGCAGCCGGGGAACACTCGTCTATGTCTGTAAACACCCACACGACACGGGACACTGTGCAGATGATCAACTGTCCTCACGGTACATCTTCTCTGGCTTTCTCTCTCACACACACACACATGGATGCTGACGAACCCCCAGCACGCTCCAGCAGCCATCAGGTAACCACGGAGACAGCTGCACGAGTAAGAGCCAGGGATGTTAGTGCAGCCGACATGGGGACCACACGCTCAGGGGGCCCCGTACTTCGCATAATAATAGATTGTGTCAAAGTGACATTGATGCGTGCAAACACTGGGCGCTTCGGATGGGAATCCTTTAGAACAGCATTTCAAATATCAAAGCAAAAATTGTTGTAAGGAGCCTGATGGGGGAAATCTTCAGTTTCGCTGATCTGATCTGAATGTTTTGCTGTGAATAGTGTTACGGCCACAGCCTTCTGAGTTTGTTACTTTTGTAATTATTAATTGGTTTGGCCTTTCTGAGTGCAGGCTCTGCCCCTGCGCACCTGAGAGCGGTTGCGGTGATGGCTCAGGCTGAGCATATAGAGGGGAGAGCGACTGAGCGCCCGGGGGAAAGGAGGAGACCTGCGAGAGCGCCAGGCCCGGCTGCAACACCAGGAGACCAGTGTTTTGTGTTCGAGCGACTATTGTGTTACGTTAAGGTGTAAAACGGAGAGGCTGGAGGTTGGAAAACTATAAAAGATCTTTGCATCGCTTCCTGCCTATCGCGTTTTCTTTATGTTGCTGACCCCTTGGCTGAACGAGCCTTCACCCTATCGAGGGGTTCGTAACATAAATGGGGGCTCGTCCGGGATCCTGTGTCCGGATAGTAGCTAAGGAATTCGAGTGATCTAATTTAATTCGGGTGATCCACGTTCTCTGGTTAGACAGAGTAAGCCAGCGGGGCTGTGCTTAGCGCCAGTCCTGACAACGGTTTACTGTTTATTATTTTGCCTTTCTTATTTTAGTTTGTTATTTTTGGAGGTACTCCGGGGGAGAGAGCGATCTCTTAATCGGTACCCTCTGAAGACTAGAGAGGAAAAGTTAGCTTTATGGGTTAGGTAAGTAGGCCCAGAGAATGTTGGATTATCCTGATTATTTCTGCATATTGTTGTTTAAAAATGGCAACGTTTGAGTTAAGCCGATTTTTAGATCAACCAAATGTTGAAGTTTTAGGGACATGTCGAAAAAGTGATTTGTCTCTTATTGCTCAACATTATGGGATTCCTTTTTCTAGAACACTAAGAAAAGCAGAGTTAAAAGATTGTTTAGTGGCTGGCTTGGTTAATAAAGGTGTTTTTTCGGCCATGGAGTCTAGTCCCACTGTAGCGGCGGAGTTAGAGGCACCAGCGGCTGCGGGAACTTCGCCTTTACGCGTATCGCGTGGTGGTCCAGTAACTCCCTTGGTGGGGGTTGGTGCGGAGGAAGGTTTAGCCTACTCGATGCCTAAATTTGAGCCTCTTTCTCTTTCAACAGAATCAACAGGGAGTCGCTCAGATGCACGTCTAAAACTACGTTTAGCACGGCTGCAGTTGGAGACCCAGGACCGAGCTCAGGCAAGGCAGGATGACTTGAAGCGTCAGATCGAAATGTATCGAATTGATGCTGATACCAAAGTACGACTGCGGGAGTTGGAGTTACAGGCTGCGCCCGAGGTACCAAAGAAATCTACTGTCAAAACATCTCTGGTCGAAGGTGATCCCGTTACGTCGCCTGGTCCATCACCGTCGGGAGGCGTTGACGAACCAGTTGGTACTGGTGGTGATTCGGTAGCGCCGTTTTCAACACATTTTGACGTGGCTAAAAACATCTCGATCGTTCCACCCTTCCGGGAAAAGGAAGTGGAAGCTTATTTTCAAGCTTTTGAACGAGTGGCGTTAGCATTAGGATGGCCAAACGCGGTTTGGGCACTAATGTTGCAATGTAAACTCTCAGGTAAGGCGCAGGAGGTATGTGCATCACTCTCGTTAGAGGAAAGCGTACAGTATGAAGCCGTGAAAGCTGCAATTTTACGGGCATACGAACTTGTTCCTGAGCATTACCGACAGCGGTTCCGTACCTCGAAAAGGGCACGTCGCAAACGTATGTCGAATTCGCTCGGGAAAAAGGCATCTTATTCGATCGCTGGACCAGGCGTGCAAGGTAACTGACTATAACTCTTTGCGAGAGCTGTTGCTAATCGAAGAATTTAAGAACTGTGTTCCGGAACGTACTGCATTGTATCTGAACGAACAACAAGTCAGCACTGTTCAGCAGGCTGCGGTGTTAGCTGACGAGTATGCTTTAATGCACAAAACGGTGTTTTATAAGCGTCCGTATGATTTTGGGGGGTCCGCCGTGAAGGAGAAGGAAAACCCTTCTGACTCGAAGTACATGGAGTCCTCCCAGTCCGAAATCTAATCGAGAATGCAGTTACTGTCACAAAATGGGTCATAGTATGGCTGAGTGTCGCACGTTGAAACGTAAACACGAACGACAAGATTCTTCATCTTTTCCACCGCGAGGCTCGGTGTTGGTGAAAACTTTGTCTCCGGCGGTTGCAGTGTCCCCCACGACCCCAGACAGCTGCTTCAAGCCGTTCATATTCAGCGGTTTTGTTTCAGTAGGTGAGAGGGGCGAGGATCGAAAACCGGTAAGAATTCTCCGGGATACAGGGGGGTCTCAGTCCTTCATATTAGCAGATGTTCTGGATTTTGGTACTGATTCCGCGTGTAATACCAGCACGGTGGTGCAGGGTATTGAAATGGGTTTCGTGACTGTCCCGTTGCATCGGGTGCACGTTTCGTCTGAGTTGGCGTCTGGATGTTTTGAGGTGGCAGTGCGTCCCTCGCTACCTGTGAGAGGCGTTGACTTTATCATGGGTAACGATATAGCTGGGGGTAAAGTCATGCCGGTGGTGCAAGTGGTCGACGTCCCGCACAACGACTCTCAGGCGGATGTGCTTGCTAGAAACCTGCCAGGGGTGTTTAGCGCCGTGGTGACGCGAGCCCAAGCAAAACATGACCTTCAGGAAAGTAATATACTCTGCGATTCTGTGTTTCCCAAGATTCTGGGAACTGACGTGCTGGCTGATCCT